ACTCTCTCTGTAGGAGAACGTCTACAGAGACATATCACTGTGAAATTAATGTGCTTTCTTACCTTTTCCCTGCCTCTTCTAAAAAATATCAGTAAAGCCAACAGTGATGAATCAGATTGTACTATTTGCAGAGTACAGATGCAAATAGTCATGTAAAGGATAAAGTTTAATGAAAATATTACAAAGAACCACTTCACTCACAAGGCATAATCCTAACACGTGACAACCCTATAAGCAGAAGTAACTGGCGTATTTTCTATATTTTCTGCAGAAAATACCAATCCATACTGAACTCGTTTCAAGGTGTATTTATTTTGTTGTTTATTTAAGCTAAACTTACAAAACCTCCAGTTTTCTTGCACTTCACATCAAGTCAAATCATGACATCCACTGATTTTGAGTGGTATTGGAGATTAATCCAGCAACATTCATCCCTTACTAAGCCTATGCAGCATTTCTATTTAAAGAAAAAATATCTGGATACATTCACAAACTTCACTGCAAACATTTATTTTTCCCACAGTATGCATGTGTCCCTTACAATAAAGTTCAAGAGAATTTTCAAGTTAGATAAGCTTGTTACAATCATGGTTCTCTGGACTGAAGGAATTAGTCATTTAGAGCTTCTAAACCATCTCAATCCATTTTTCTTTCCTCAGACTCAGGAAAGATTCATCTGTTTGTTTTCTTTTTAATTTATACTATGATACATGCACAATTTGGTTAAAAATACGGTGCTCTGACTCACAAATTAACAAATACAATTGTTAGCTTAATTAAACAGTACCAGAAAGAATACTACTATACATCAAGCCTAGGGAAGTACACGGTCTCTTCACAGCAATCACTTTTCCCACTTTGAGATGAGAAATTTGAATATTAATTCAGCCTTGATTAAAAAAACCATTTACTCACTAATTAAAGGGCTTGAATCGACATTCTTCAGAGCATTGCTGATAAAAAGATATACTAAGACACTCMCAGCCTCTGCAGGAACTACTRCATTAATCATTTGTTCTCCCTCTCAAAGTCTCCATCCCAGTCTTTCTCAATCCCCATTCATATGTAACTTCCAAGCCTAGCTCCATTGCCCAACTTAGTTCAAGCAAGGCTTCCACTCTTCTCCCCCATCAGGGAAGAATTTCGCAGATGCTAATAGCAAATTCTCTGTGCTCTGAAAGCTTTCTCTCCCATGACATCGACACAAAAACATCCATCCCCCTCGAACAAGTCAGTGGCTGAGCACTGATGACAGGATCATGCTGACTAATATTATCCAGCTGCCTTTTGCACTACATTCTTTCTATATAGTGATCCACAGTCTCTTTGCACACTGCAGCTGTATTTAAGGAAGAAATGAGTGTTCTCTGACTTACCCTTCCGTATGTGACACACCCAATCCAACAGTGGCCTAATACAATTTGACAGCCTTTCAGTAAGGTCAAAATTTAAAACCAAATACATATGAAACGAGATTCACAAGAGGAAAATGTGCAAGGAAAGAGCTCTAAAGATTCCATAACATTTATACAGCTTCTTTTCTAAGTTTTAATACACTATAACTTTCTTCTAACAAAGGCAGCATGATTTGACTTTTTGTTTTCAAACTCACTATATAAGTTTCTAAATATTATTCAAGTTGTGGATCCGAAAACTGTAATTACTACTTCAGTGCACATGTAGCAAATATGTGCAAAACTCAGATCAACTGTTGTTTGGATATCGTACAAGTTCAATTTTCTCTCAGTAGTTATTTAAGGGAGTTTTCTACTGATAGAATTGAAGATCCTGGACTCACTTTGCCAGTGCAGGAGTAGCAGCTGAGAGGACCTGAATCAATTGATCTACATCTCCCAAATCACCGAAATCATCAGAAACCATCTGCAGATTTCAGCACAGCAGCAATGACTTGCAGAAAGCATGGCAGGCAGATGTACAGCTATATCACAGTGCTTACCCTTCTCTTGTAAAGAACATAAGCACTTCTCTTATATACATGTTCAGCGTACTGAGGCAAAGCTAAACAAAACATGCTACCTAGAGGGTTACAGAGGCAACTTCATAAGTAACGTAATCCTTTACTTATTGATCTTGTGAAAGGTCTCCTTACTTGTACCAGAGAACCACTTCTTTCAGGATTGCCCTATCTTTTGGTCTGGTCACCACAGAGCAAAGCTGAAGTTAAAGGGAAGTCGAAGTTTAATTTTTAAAGGGGAAAAAAAAATCCACACAACCCAGCGGAATTCAATATATGCATGCACTGGATTTGTGTCAGTTCCACACTTCTACATTAATGCTTTTGCAATACCTGAACAAACTAACATAGAAATACCCTGAGGACCTTGTGATAATACTAAGGACTTTCATATTTGATTTGTATTTTTTCCTCAGACTCATCCATTACGTACCTCTGTGTACATTTCCGTACAATTCATCCTTCTTTAGTAAGAATGAGTTACTCTATGAAGTAAACAACAAAACCAAAGTTCTGATGCTCTAGCAGCCCAGAACAAACAACTACTTATATCAAGCATATTTAATTTCTTAGAAGGCAGATTTGAGAAATCAGGCAGTGCCAGTAATTTTTTGCAAGTAGGACATCCTGGTGTATGCTGCTGCAACATGCCAGCAAAGTACTTGAATGAATACTGTAGTTAGCACTGTCAAGGGGTTGGATCCTCATCCCACTCCATTAACAGATTAAATAGAATGAATTAATCCCGCAGGGATAATTTTCTTAACAGAAATATAATTTAATARAAGGGAATTGAAAATAGAGTGCTGAAGAGATGTGGTTTTCTAGCAGATAGGTTCTAAATGCTATCATGGGAAATAAAGACAGAAGCAACTGTTAATAAAGGTCATTAGATCAACTTAGGAAAAGTGAAAATAAAAGCAAAAGATCTTTCTCCTTTTCAGTTTSCTAAATCTCCTGTTATGACTGTAAAGCCTAAGMAACACARTGAGTGCAAGAACYGCGAGGATTGAGGAATCRCAGATATCCTAGAGGATTGAGGAATCACAGATATCCTAAATATCACTCTCAGCTTGCAAATGAAGCATGACCTCAAACAGCAGTAAAAAACTGATAAAAACCCTCAAAATTAACATTCACTTATTAGCAGTCGTTTATGAATTCAACTACAACACTTACACAGTACCAGACAATAATGCTTTTATTAGCCCAAGGCAYTGCAACTGCTTAAAAACCATCAGTGTTACCTGGTTAATGGCTAGTCTCACAGAACTTTGCAAAGTTACGTATTTTGTAACAATAACAAGCAAGGCACACTGACGTTTCCCATCATTCTAGTAAGTGGAGAACCACAAAACACTTAYCCAGTGGCCAGAAGTGGTTTTAATGCATCACAGTCAACTGCTATTGCTCAACTAACATACAAGTAAAGGCCTCCTATACACAGTCAAACTCTCAGTAAGAGAATGAAAAAACACTGTTTACCAAGGGCAGCAAAGTCAAGCAGAAGAATTAAATTCCCACTCTCCAAGCCTAATTTTGTTTTCTTTCCTCATCCCCTCCAGCTAACACAGCTACATTGATGGAAAACATAAGCTGATTCCTATGAACTGGCTTTTTCAGCAAATGTATCACAGCAGCAAGTTTCACCTGGCTGTAATAATACCCTGTCGTCTGCCTAGAAGCACGTAGGAATTTTAACTTTGTGGAACACACTATTTTTATAACCCTTCTTAACCCTACTACCTCAACAAGTGCTATAGGAGTTAAAAATCTCACATTTTTTTAGCGCCCTTTGGTAGAGTTACCTGCACTGGAGAATGCCGGATAAWCTGAGCTCAGCAGCACTGTGACTAATGGTCTATTAAAATTATCGCAATTACCATCGTCTTAAGGCAGTGTGGAACTACAAGGCAGCACTGAACAACAGGAAAGGGAAGACACCGAGAGGTATTTTCTTAAGCGAATCCAAGAGTCCCTGCACAGCCTAAAACTAGGCAAAGTCAAAAACAAGTTTCTTAAAAGCACTGACAACAAAGAAACACACTTACTGGGAATGGAACAGACTTGCCACGCGTCAGTTTCAAAACACACATATTTAAAAAAAAAAGCCACAACATTTATGTAAACCAGGAGCCCACGAAAAAGAAACAGTTCAATGCATATGAACATTCTTTAAAAATTACAAAGCATTTCCTCAGAATGGTACAGAACTCAGTCGTACAGCAGCTCTCCTCTACAGTATTATCTAGTCTATACTGCTCCGATTCCTAAGCAGACATTCTCCGACCTTATGTGAAGCCTTTACAACACCGTCATCCATGTTCAGCACGACAGATCACCYCCACCAGGTCACAGGACCTTAAAAGGGCCCAGATTAAACCATTACAGACTCCAATTTTTCATTAAAGCCTCGGCTTACGCAGCCAATAAAAAAATCACCCAGCTGATGAAAATCGTACATTAAGAAAGAACATTTTCAGTTAGGAAAGAAACAACCGTAGACACCGCAGAAGGAGGCAAGCGAAGCTCCGTAAAAGGAGAGGGCCGATCCCGTTTCGCGGGGCTGTGGAACGACCTAAAAATCCGTTCGAAACGAGCGGCCGCGCCCGCAGGATCGCAGGGGGCAGAGCGCCGCGAGCAGCGGCGGGACGGGCCGGGACGGGCCGGCTCTGCCCCTCGGCCCAACGGCTCTGCCACTCCGCCAGCTCGGCACCGGCCACCGAGCCGCCCCTCCCGCTGCCGGCCAGGCTGCCCCGCCAGGCGCCAAGGCTGCTCCCCAGCAAACGGCGTTCGCATTATTGCCTGTGACAACGCCCAGAGCCCGCGCACAACGGGAGCCTCTCCCCAGGGCACCGCCAAACTCAGGCGGGAAGGAAGCCCTGCCCCGCTCTGCTCAGAGCAGCGTCGCTATCACCGCCACCGCTCCCTCCTCACACAGAGCACTCCAGAGCGCAGTTCGCCACGGGCAGACTGCTGGCGCTGCCACGGCCCTAGCTTTGTCCCGTGCCTCTCCCGCACTCACCGACCGCCGCCGCCTCAGTCTCAGTCTCAGTCTCAGTCTCAGTCCCAGTCCGACCGCGCTCCCGGCAACCCCCGCACCGCAGCAGCCGCTCCCACGCGCGCACCCGCGGCTCCAAACTAAATGACGCCAGACCTGCGCGCCGCCTTTCCCCGCTCCCCTCCCTTCGCCCCACGTGACTCTCCTGGCCCTATCAGCAGCGCCTCCAAGAGCTCGAGCCGCCTGTGGAAACATCGCGATCTCACCGCCCCCCCTGCAGGGCGGCCCCGGAGGCCCCGCGGACCGGATGGGCGGGGCCGGGCGAAACGCCGCGAGGCTTCTCCACGGTTCTCCGGCGCTCGCAATGAAATCCCGCTCGAGATCTCGCGAGGCTTCGGCGCGCTCCCCCCGAGCACGATGCCGCGCAGGAATGTGAAAGGCGCGCGCTCGCCGCCATTTTCTCTCTTTCTTGGCAGGCGGCGGCAGCGGCCGGAGCGGTGCCGGGGCGGCCATGGCGGACTATTCCACGGTGCCCCCACCTGCCGCGGGCGCGCCAGGGGGAGGCGGCGGCGGGGCTGGAGGAGTGAACGATGCCTTTAAAGACGCGCTGCAGAGGGCTAGGCAGGTGTGTTTGCGTGTGTGGCTCCGTCGAATCAATGGGGTCGCTGGGCCTGGAGGCCGCGGTGTCGGAGCCGCGGGAGCAGTGAGGGGCCTGCGCCCTCAACGCGCTGGGCTTTGGGGAGTGGAGCCCCCTCCGCCAGTGTGTTTGAATTGGGGGGAGCTTTGTCGTGTCCCCACGCCCCTTTTGCGCCACCTGCCCGCCCTGGGTCGTGAGGTATTTGTGCGGCCCCGCTCCGCCATTGCCCGTGAGCAGCGCTGGCTTCGGCCGGAGGGGATTCGGCGGTGAGGAGMGCGGCACCGCGGGGTCCCTCCCCAACGGCGGGGAGGCGAAATCTCGGCGGGCGAGTAGCGGCACCTTATCGGGCCCGGCCCGGCGGAGGGACCGAGGGCGGCGGCTCCGCGGCGCGGGCCGTGTTGTGGCGCCCGCGGCACCCGCTCCCTGCTCGGACCGGTTGGGCAGCGCCGCGGCCTGCGGAGCGAGGGCGGCCCTTGCGGAAGCGCTTTATCCCGCAGTTTTTATTTGTAGCTTCTGCACCACAGGCGATGTTTTCATCGCTTCTCGGGTGAAATGTTCGCCTCGCCTGTTAATGAGCGGTCGCGGTTTTGGCAGTATTTGAGGACCTTGGGWAGTCGGGTTTTGAAATTGTTTGGCTTGTGAGGCCTTGCTGTGGGACATCCCAGTGTTTGGCGAACAATGCGTAGARAAAGAAAATCCACGTTTAGAAAAAAGTTGCTGTTTAAAAGTTCTCTCTGGGTTTTTTTTTGAATGGGTGAGGAAAATTTAGGCGGCCTACTGTTGAAGGATGAGCACAAGTCTTTAAAACATGAAAACTTTATGAGCAAAACTGATCTTGGTCATTAAATTTTTGGGATCATTTTAATGTGCATTGTTTAAAACCCTGAAATCTTTTTGAAGATCTGGAATAGGTATGGGCCGAATTAATTTTTTTTCCTGGCTCACATCTGCTTTTTGTTTAGATTGCAGCGAAGATTGGAGGAGATGCTGGCACATCAATGAATTCAAACGACTACGGTTATGGAGGGCAGAAAAGACCTCTTGAGGATGGAGGTATGCGCTCGTTGCTGTTGTATTTATCTTTGTTGAGTATGGCCACTGTGCCAGAAAGATTGCAGGTGGTGGTTTCGTTTGTGGATTCGGTTTTTTTCCCACAGCATAGCATTAAAACCTTTTGTTCCCCTCACAGATCACCACATACTTTTTCATTTTCAGTTTAATGGAAAAGTTTGTTTTAAACCGTTTTGCTCTAACCTGAAGTGAATGTAAGCCTGTTTTACAGTATTTTAAACGTGGTTTAAATGCTCAAATAGAAAAACGTACTGGAGAAAGGACAGAAATATTCAGGTTGTGAATGCCTATGCAGGTGTCATTGTAGTCTTTTGTGGTTGTGTGGGATTGGTTACAGCTTGTAATTTACAATTAGAGGAGGAAGTGCTCCTGAAGCTTGATTGTTTCGTTAACTTTATTAGTGCACTGTTCTAATAAAAGTATTAATTCGTTTCATTGTAAAAGCATAGGACTTTWAAAAAAGGCAGGAAGGTAGGTTTTATGCCTTAAAGACACTTGCGTAGTCTCGTATTTCAGTCTACAGCATGTGTGTGCCCTGGTGAGATCATATTTAAATCTTCTTACTTGTTGCAGCTTTTTGGATTTGCCATACACTATAGTAAAGTTTTCTCCTGAAATGTGTGTGTGTGTTGTCTTTTGTCTCTTGCAGAGCAGCCACTTTGAACAGGGTTGTGTATGTTTAGTATACACACAAAATCCCAGCTAAATTACAGAAAGAAATCTCTAAGCTTGATGAAATGTTCTTATAGGTCTCAGAAAAGAGAAATGTTTTTTTTTTTCCTTTAAGAGGATTGAAACTCAGTCTACAGAATGTAACTAAGGCTTTATATCAGGAGCTCTTGTGTCCTTCAGTAAAGGTTTTTTTCTATTAAAGGTGAGGTTTTTAATATACAGAAATGAGCTAATGATGCTTCAGATGATATATGTAATGTATTCTTTTTATTTTATGTGTAGATGGCTCTTGGACAAGTCCGAGCAGTACAACACACTGGGAGGGAATGCCCTCTCCTTTTAAAGGCAGGAATTTTTATTTATTACCTGTGTTTAGTATGTAAACATGACATGAACTAGTGGATCTTTCTGGATTGACACAAATATTTCTTGGAATATGTGTCTTGAGTTTTTGCACATAAATTATGGTGGTTCCTATAGCCTTTATTTTGGGGTGGGAAGGAAGCATCTGAAGTCTTATCTTTTCAGATATAGGTTAATGATGCCTTTTATTTCTTTGCCGTATAGAAAGGATTTGGACAGTAGTGATGTAGTTGCTTTGAATCTGCTTTTTTTGAAGTTTTATGCTATGAAATGATAATTGGATAGGATCATATCAACATCCAGATTGAAACTGCATTGTCATGTGATACTGTTGTATTTTCAGATGCTTGGTCTAGGTTTGTGGTYGTTGTCAGAATTATTTTTTTAAGTCATTGTTGATTTTTGTATGGATTTGATTTTTTTTTTCTTTTTTACTATAGAAGCATCATTAGCTTGAGCAGCCAACAAAGCTCAACTTTGTTCCTTGTCTTAGTTGAGTTTCAGTGACTGGGTATCTGTGAGCTGTCTACATACAGTGCATTCTGAAAGCTGCCTTTTGTTAAACTGAATAGATACATGGAGAAACCTATCATCTTTTCAGCTATACTAACCGAGTGCTGAGTGTTCGTGAGATTCTTTCTTTTATTCAGATCATCAACTCCCTGAAATTGGAGGAGAAAAAAGAAAGAAAAGGGAAAAAAAAGGGGGGGGGGGCTAAAATACCCTGGAAATTTACAATTCACACTAAAAGGTTTAAACACATCTCTGAGTTTCTTGGCAAAAAAAATTTAAAACATCTTAATTTTGCAGATCAACCAGATGCTAAGAAAGTTGCTCCCCAGAATGACTGTAAGTAATTTTTATTTTGTTGCCAAAAAAACCTATACAAGTGTAACATTGTCAGAACAGTTTGAAAGTGTTCTGGTAGGTGACACTTGCATAAGTAAGATCAAGAAAATAGTTGGGGCTTTAATGTCTTATTTTCTTAAAGCGGTGGGAGTCTGCTTTGTAAAACTAACCGYCATGGTAGCAACAGTTGGGAGTCTTTATCATTTTGAAGCTTGATAACACTCCCTAAAAGTGAACTTGGACAAAATTGATACAGTTGAGTTTTATTATTAAAAGAGAAGCTTGGTTGTAAATTGTACTGCTTGCTGAATTTAATTTTAACAACGTTTGTTTATAGCTTTTGGAAATCAGCTACCACCGATGCATCAGCAACAAAGGTAAGAGTTACACTACATCTTACGTAGGATTTTCATTGAAATAAAGCAGCTTCAAGCAGTTTTTTTGGAAAAGCGATATCAACACATTAAGAATTTATTATTAGTGTGATTTGTTGAAATTCAGCTTCATCAAGTCCTAAGTCAGACACTTAAAACGTACCCGCATTGCTCTTTCTCTGCAGCCTAGGCTRTGTATTAAGCTGAGTAAAAGGAAGATCGTGCTGGTTTTTACTACGTAAGCTTAGGTATCATAGCCAGAAGTTGGAAGCAGMTCTGAAGGGAAAAGGGGGTGATGCTTGTAAATAAAAAAGCTGAATTACCTAAAGTTTGTTTTACTTGATTTATTTTTATATAAAGTATTACTTAACTACATTTATTACAATGTAGCTGTTTTCTCCACTCTTTTCTTTCCTAAACAACTAGATTCAATTATTATTATTGTGCTTTGGACAGTTCTGAGATAGCAAAATTTTCAACATTTGATTGGTATACATATGAAACTTGAAGTGCCACAGTAGCCTTTTCTGTACTGCAAATCTATTAATAAAGAGGGTGAAGGAAAACTTCTGGCTGATTTATGATACTTTTACCTTTTGTATCATTTTTGTGTATTGTCAGCTTATGTAGAATTGCTTCCATAATGGCTTCAAAGTTAATGGGAGGCAAGTAAGCCAGGGTGATGGTGGGGGCAGTAGCTTGCTTTAGTTTAATGGGAGGATATATGAAAATGTAATGTTGGTTTGGTCTCTAGATGGTTATTGTGTTTTGTTTGACATTCTCTGTAGGTCTGTGATGACAGAGGAGTACAAAGTTCCAGATGGGATGGTTGGATTCAGTAAGTAGTATAGGTGTGGTCTTGTAGTATGGTGAGGGRTGTTAACAGATGCTGTTAAAACAAATAATTTTTCTATATTTTCTTTCTTTCCCCAAGTAATTGGCAGAGGCGGAGAGCAGATCTCGCGCATCCAGCAAGAGTCTGGCTGYAAAATACAGATTGCACCCGGTAACTATTTGAGGGGGGGTTTAACTTGTCTGATGGGGGGCGTTGGTAGGAAATCCAGAAGCTCATTGCTTCTAATTGCCTGAACCTTCATTTAATGTACAGTTTAATRTTTTTTGTGATAATCATCATTATGATGGTCTAAAGAAATGCAAAATGGCATATACTGAATATTCTGCTCAATTGATGTTCTAGTAGTTTGCATATTATTATTAATTTTATAATCTCTTTCYGACTTAACCCTACTGATAAGTTGTTTTTATTTTATGACCACAGATAGTGGAGGCCTGCCTGAAAGATCATGTATGCTAACTGGAACGCCAGAATCTGTTCAGTAAGTAAAACAAATTCTGCGTGTGCATATTTAATGGTGCAATACACTTCATTTTTAGCTATGAATATAATATCTAGGTAGTTTGTTTTTCCTCTGTTGAAGAGTCAATTTAGTGACAAATAYACACAGAAGAAGAAAAGCCCTTAGCGTGCAGTCATTCAGCATACTTGGAATTTTAGGACGAAAATGTGGGACTTCAGCTTACTCGAGTTGTAGATACTTGCATAGCCACACACTCATTTCAGCTTGGAGATGAAATGTGTGGATATATATTAAAAACAAACATATTCTGAAAATAAACTAGTAACCATAAATTTGAAGATTGCAAGGAAACTTAGTTGTGTAAGAGCAGGAGTTTCTCCAGAGCCCCCAGCCCACCAGAGTTTTAAAATGTCTTCAGTATAAATCAGTGTATAACAAAAATTATCAAAGTCATTGTTACATTAATCAGAGTTAACTTCCTGTGCTCAGGAAGGAGGGTGATAGTAATGAGAATGTTTAGTGGTTTTGAGGGTGTTTTTCTGTTGTGAGTTTTTTTTCCTCTGGGTTTGTTTGCGGGTTTTTTGTGGTTGTTTTTTTTTTTGTTGTTGTTTTTTTTGTTTGTTTTTGGTTTCTAAATTACTCAGAGCTACTATAGCACCTTTAAAACCACTTACACTGGCTTTACTAGGAAAGATCTGAATTGTAGTATATGGCTATTATCTCATTTATGTTAGCTGCTCCTGCTTCGTGTTGGCAGGTAGAGCCTGCCAGCTRCAGGTGTCCTTGGGGAAAGTCGTGTGCATTCTCTTATGCTGCAGCCAAGCAAGCTGCCATTCATGAAGTCATTTCCTTTACGAGAATTTTGTTTCTAATTGTAGTTTATTTTGCTCACATGTTAAAGGGGAAAATTTGTAATTGATGTTAGGACTGTAATCATGCTGACCTAACACATGTGAGTATATGCTTTTTTCCACTGCTGTGATAGTGGTTACAAGTAAAAATGTCCTTTCTTGCATGCGGAATCTAGCAGCAGCTTTTATTGTGAGTTAAGCTTTGATGAGTGTAATTACATTCATGGAACTTGAGGAGATAACTTCCTTTAAACATATTCTGTAAAGGACCCCCTTATGTATTCCGATACATTGGGGTAGTTTTGTTACTTTGCAGTTAGTTTCTTAAATTGAATTTGCTTCATATTTGCTAGTGATAGTAGTCATACTTCTTTGGCAGAAGCTTTCCAAATGAAAAAATTTCCAAGCAGAATAGGTGTGAGCAAGTGATACTTCCAGAAATAAATAATTGTAACTACATATTTTCTTTCACAGATCAGCAAAAAGATTACTTGATCAGATAGTTGAAAAGGGAAGACCTGCACCTGGCTTTCATCATGGTGATGGACCTGGAAATGCCGTCCAAGAAATTATGATCCCAGCAAGCAAAGCAGGATTAGTTATTGGGAAAGGTGGAGAGACAATTAAACAATTACAGGTATATATGTGTCTCTTTTAAATACGGTAGCACTGACTCTGGATTTGAGTGGGTATTGACCTCCCTTTTGTCAAATAGGAGCGAGCAGGTGTCAAAATGGTCATGATTCAAGATGGTCCTCAAAACACTGGTGCAGACAAGCCCCTTAGGATAACTGGAGACCCTTATAAAGTTCAAGTAAGGAGTCATTCACAATTCAGAGCACTTTCAAATCCATTCTGATGTTGCATTGCCTAAATGAACTTTTGTTCTTCTTTTAGCAAGCCAAGGAAATGGTGCTGGAGTTAATTCGTGATCAAGGTGGCTTTAGAGAGGTGCGCAACGAATATGGGTCAAGAATAGGAGGAAATGAAGGGATAGACGTAAGCATGGTTGAAAAACTTGTTCACTGTATTTTGAGATGTTAATCTTAAATGTTAAGCTGGGTAATGCCACTGAAAGCTTTTAACCAGATTTCACAAGTGGTTGTGGCATGTATTACTTGATCATTGCTGAATTTATGACACCAAATGATGTGCAGCATTCACTTTACATTGCCAGCAGCTATGAACAATTTAAAGTAGCTGGTGCTTTTTATCAAATGGGCAAGCAAATTTTATGGCCAAGTATATAAAGTTATGTTAATCAAATTGGACTTTGGCCATTACAGGAGGATATTTAAGTCCCTCTGTTATGCAAGTCACAAGCTACTAACTGTTTAACAGGGGAGAGACTTAAAGTTTCATCTGCTCGAATCTGCATTTTAGACACTTCATAAATTCTTTCATTTTTACTTTTCTTTGTCTAAGTAGCACAATATCCATTTGAATTGCTACCACTATGAGAACTGTCAAAGCATAGGATCAGTTTCTTTTTGATACTTTAGTCCAGTATGTGCTGAGCTTGTGACTTGATATTAAAAAATTTGCCCTTGAAACTGAACATTTGTCTTGCCCTTGTTTACAATTCAAATTAATTCTAACCCTTTCATAGTCTGGATTTTTTAGGAATATCTATGTCATTAACATCTTGGGGTTTGGGKTTTTTTTTTTTAGGTTCCAATACCACGATTTGCTGTAGGTATTGTAATTGGAAGAAATGGAGAGATGATAAAAAAGATCCAGAATGATGCTGGTGTTAGGATCCAGTTTAAGCCAGGTTTGTAACACGTTCATAAGTTTTTGTGAATTAAGTGTAAATTTYCTTAATTGCATATACTGGAATAGTTCATTTTTATTCCAGATGATGGAACAACTCCAGATAGAATAGCCCAGATCACAGGGCCTCCTGACAGATGTCAGCATGCTGCAGAAATTATTACAGATCTCCTTCGAAGTGTTCAGGTTGGGTAATGTTGTTCAGTGCTTACAATCTTCTGCCCACCTTTTGGAAAGATACAAAATTTTCAAAAAGTGTGTGTAACCRAAGAAAATAATGATGCCATTTAAARCTACTTCAAAGTTTGGTCTCRAATGTGAATGTTTACTKTTATAGTTACAGTTTTGGAAGTGACAGTTCTGTTTCAAAATCACAGCACTTCTTGATGTGGTTGGTTTTAGAGCTGCTGCTTCTGTGTTAATAGCTAACATGCTCTTACTTTTCRTGGTAATCAGTGTTAAAAAGCTTATTGTTGGATGAGCCACACTGCCGCATTTAGAGAAGGCAGATAAAAATTACATCTTAGTGCATGGGAAACTTCCTACTTTCTCCTGTATTTTTGTCTCCTTCATCTTTCATATGCAGAATTGTACAGAACATTCTTTAAAATGTGATTTAGGYCTCCTGTAAAAGGTCCTGCTTTAACTATCAAAACTGTCTGAGTAGTGAATCAGTCTTTTCTTAACAATGTTGTCGTGCAGCCTGTTTGTATTATTTGTTTGCGGTAATTTTACAGAACGTGCTCATTTGTTGCTGCTTCTTTTTAGGCTGGTAACCCTGGTGGACCAGGGCCTGGTGGTCGAGGAAGGGGTAGAGGCCAAGGCAACTGGAACATGGGGCCTCCTGGTGGATTACAGGAATTCAATTTTATTGTCCCTACTGGCAAAACTGGATTAATCATTGGAAAAGGCAATATATCTTATATATGTACATCTGTATGTTACTTAAAAACTTTTCTGTTGGGATGAATGCCATACTACAGAGATGGGTGGTTAGCATAATGCTAATAACACCAAGGTTGTATATTCAATCCCTGTATGGACCTTTCACTTAAGAGTTGAACTCCATGATCMCTGGGGGTCCCTTCCATCTCAGAATATTTTCTGATACTGTGATTTTTAAAGATTTTTAGTTGGAAATGACCTATTTTGAAGACTTAGTGTATACTAACGGTACATATAACTTGTGGATCCKGTAGGAGGAGCTAGTTCAGGAAATTTAGCTTTCTGCAAGAAAATTGTAGACTTAATTCCAGCCTCTCTAGAGCTTTTTTTTGTCATTTGGGCTTCCTCACCCCTTCATAGGGAGGTTGGATTTTAAGCTTAWATTTACTGATAACCATGTATGTCAGTTTTTACTCATGTCTAAAATTTTTACATGAATGAAAAAAATCAGAGATTGTAGGAATTMTTTGCCGTTGTTTCTGAGCAACGTTCTTGTGGTCTTTAATTTTAAAAAARTCTTCTTATTTTACTAGTTTATTGACATTAAAGCTGTATAGTACACTGAAGAGTTTTTTTAAAAAATTGTTAGAATGTTCTTGAACTCCTAATAAGTTTATTTTCACGTCTTTTCAGCTTCCATGCTGTTTCTTTTCTCTGATTTGAACCAGTATTTTTTGCTTCAATGCACGTTATAAAAACTCTTACGTTGTATTGTAGGTGGTGAAACTATTAAAAGTATAAGCCAGCAGTCTGGTGCTAGAATAGAACTTCAAAGAAATCCTCCACCTAATGCGGATCCAAACATGAAGATGTTTACTATCCGTGGAACACCCCAGCAAATAGATTATGCACGACAACTTATAGAAGAAAAGATTGGAGTGAGTGTATAGCTGTTTTTTTGTTTACTTTTACAGTTAACCAGAGCTGAAAGCAAATCTCCTTTGTGGAGACTTCTCTTTCCTTTCACTTCCCAGATGAATTTAATCAGATAATAATAAATGGTAATCTGGATTGAAAGTAATACATAAATCTTGAAATGGAAACAATTGTTCTCTTCAAAATTATGTAGTATATTCTTTAATAATGTGTTCTTGAAAATGCCCATTTTGTGCCTATGAAAAATGGGTTAAGTTCATAGATAACAATGATAATRCTAAAAGCTACTAATTATATGTTTAGTTCTTCAGTCTCTATGTTTAGGTAAAGTTTTAATCCAAGTTGCACCTTCAGTTTCACTGCACTTTTGTTTGCGTGTGTCTGCATGTAATCAAATCTACTAGTGGTTTTTTTGTACCTGATCTTACAAACAGGTTTAGTTAGATTTAAATGTGTTATTTACTTTAAAACTGATAATCTTGTTATCATGTGGGGTTTTTATTGTGGCTGGTGGAAAGGTCTGTGTGTTTTTTGTAAAATCCTTCACTTCCTTAAGAAGGAACTGAAATAAATGCAACTTTATTTGTTATTACTGCCACAGCTACCTTTAACTCTGGTCTTTAATTAGCCCTAAGCCTAATCAAACTTTGAAATGCTTGTTTTCTTCAGGGAAATGTCTTTATTTAAAAACAMACCTTTTTAATTGCATTCTTAGTGTTAAGATAAATGCTTTTAAATGGCTGAAGAATGAAGAGCCTCAAGGTATATTTTCATCTCTGTACCACCCTTGTTACAGGGTCCAGTGAATCCATTGGGTCCTCCTGTTCCCCACGGACCCCATGGTGTTGTTCCTGGCCCACATGGACCTCCTGGRCCACCGGGTCCTGGTGCTCCCATGGGACCATATAATCCAGCTCCTTATAATCCAGGCCCTCCTGGTCCTGCACCTCAGTAAGTATTGCTTCAGCTGACTGCCTTCTTAGGGTGACCCTGGGACTGGCTTTCACTGTGTGTATGCCTTGATCTTTTTTAGTGGTCCTCCAGCTCCCTATGCTCCACAGGGATGGGGAAATGCTTATCCACACTGGCAGCCACCAAACCCACCAGATCCAGGTAAGAAATGCCACAGATTTACTGTGCGGGTRTTTCAAGTACATCCATTTTGTCCTTGCAAGTAAATGCACTGTACAGTTCACTTGTGTTACACTCATAAATCTGAAAAGCTCCTGTTTTTCTGCCTTTTTTTCACTGATTGTCAGTTCACTTATGTTTTGCACTTTCCCTGTGTGGCTTGTGAGATGTTGAAATTCATTAAAGTGGAAATATGCTTTTTTACAAATGTTATTGATACTGCATCCCTATTTATGATACTTTTTGCAAGTCTGTTCACTGATTTTCTTAAAATTGATGTTTTTGCATAAAGTTCTTTAATGTGGATGCCTTTTCTTTCTCTAGTAGTAAATGACTGTATTTTATTTTAAACAGTCTTTACAGATTGTCATTTTATAGTAATGCTCTATTACGTTTGTAGGTTTTGTTGACCTATTAGTATTACTTTTAAGAGTCTGATACACAAGTGTGTTTTGCWGAGTTCCTTTTGAGGATAAAACCTTGGTGAATTGCTCTTAATACAGTAAAACTARTTAGGGTTATGTATTTTGAGCTTTTGCTTATACTAGTTTCATATTTTCTTCTGAAACCTATCTTTGTAGAAATCTGTTACTTCTATTTCTGTTTATCTTTGTCAAGACTGGGAGTTTTTACTTAATTACAACTTCCAAAGTTGTAGAATGCTGCTTTTCTTTAAGTTTACATCCTTTGGTTGGACTAGAGGATATGGGGAAATGGAACATCAGCCACAGAAGGCATGGTAAGGCTAGATGCTTGAGTCTGTTGTACCTCATTTGTTTGAGGTAGAGTTTCCTCAGAACTTGAGACAAAAGATCACRATTTTATTTTTGTTATAAATGACATAAGTGTTTTCTGACAGCCACTGTTCCTGACATAGGTTCCATTAGTGGAGAAGGGTATCATGTTATGTCTTTGCAAAGAATGATCTCTGGTTTTAGTTCCCACACTTCCATAAAAGGTAGCTCTGCATGTATTGAGTGTTTAAAACTGCCTCTTGACGTTATTTAACAGTCTAATGATTCAAAGTGACATAGTCTCAGCACAGCAAAAGCATTTAATRCAAAACCACTGCTAAAATGTTACAGCCTTTTTCATGCCGCCTTCTTTATTGTTTATGAAGTAGTTTGTTTACATAAAGGATGTGTAAGAAAAAATGGCAAATACTCTGTCATCTTGATGATTCCTTTTTTTGATAAATACTCTTAAAAATCTAATGAAGTCATATATGTAGTTGAAGTTGGTGGTTTTTTGACTAGCATTTCTTTGGATGAATTTTCTGTGGTTTTCACTTAGTTACTCGTTTCAGTGTAACAAATGGGTTATTTTAGTATTTTTTTTCCAGAGGTGCTTTTCTTCCCAATTGTGGTCTTGCTCTTGTCATGTGAAGGTGGAGCTAGTTACTACAGTTATATTACTTTGGAAATTTAATGAATCCAGCTCTGTGGTGTTCACTAGCTAAGGGGAAAGAGGCAGGGGGGAAGATTGAGCATTGGCTTGTTTGATATTTGCAGGTGACCTTAGAATATAGTACATGTTAATTTAAATCCACTATTGTTGATAGAAGCAGTATAATTTAAAACAGGAAGTAATGTGTTAACATTTTTTTTGTATGYTGATASTACTGTTTGTATTTGAAGTGGTTACATCTGACTTTTGTCACAGGATTGAATTTTAGCATTAATTTGTTGTGGATTTCTTCTTGGATGCCTTTTTCAGGGGTTTTCTTCATCTTCATTACTCACTGCCTTACCTGTTTTGTGTTTGGGGAGGGTTATGTTTTTATTCCCATGTGTAGTTGTTCTGAAGTATCAGTTGTGTCCATGTCCTTTTGTGAAATTCTCTCCTCAGTTGGCTGCATTTCTTTGCAGATACTATTATTCTTTAAGGCTGCAAATATTGTTTGCAAATACATGCTGGTTGTGTAAAACATTAATAGTAGATTTTCAGGTATTGTGGATTGYCAATTTGGTAATTTAATCAATTTGTGATCCAGCAAGAATAAGCCRTTTCTAGAGGCTATATGTGAAAAACAGAGAAATAAAACTCTAGGAAACAGCATCATTGGCCTACCTAGATGTAGATAAAAATAAGGAACCCTGGAAATAGCTGCAGAAGATGCAACTGTTGCTATTATTTTTTATACTAAAAAGCTGTAAGTAAACAGTGATGCGTAATAGCCATGTGTGGGGATTCAGGTTCTTAAAATGCTGTGTGTTTCTTTATTTTACTGTTGCCTTAAAGTTTAACTGACGAGCATTGCAAATACCTAGTAAGTTTTGTATTCTTCTGTTTCAGAAATATGTATTTGGCATGCCTCCTCCACCGGTGCCAGTGTCATTAGCGTGAGGTTCTAACAAAAGTAAAACCACTGAAATTGTTTGGTGCTAGAATGATTCATTGCTGCTACCATTTATTAACATAACTGTTTATTTAAACTTGCAAAATCTGTTTGTGTTTATCAGTGTTAAATTAATAAGTGGCATTGTAGTTGTAAGGGTTCTAAATTTTATCTCACCAGCTCTGAAAGTACACTTTGTACAGTACATTGTTCTGAAACGTGMTCAAAAGTTCATGATAGAAAGAAAAAATACTTAAAGGGTATACGTAGATATTTTGTTTAGATGAATTTTTCTTGGAGGAAAATAAGAATGCCTAGGACAGGATTAATTGAGAACACCACTCGATTCATTGCAGTACTACTTTTATAAATGCATATTTTCTGTTTTCATAGGTAAGCCAGGAACAGATCCTAATTCAGCAGCGTGGGCAGCTTATTATGCTCACTATTATCAGCAGCAAGCACAGCCACCACCTGCAGCACCTCCTGGTGGACCAGCTACAACCCAAACTAATGGACAAGGTAGCTGTTGAGTGAAATGGACACGTTTCTCATTGCTGGAGGTGTAAATGCCCCATTATTTTTAGTTGTTGTTTTCATATATAAATTTATTTTAAGAAGCTTTTTTTAATGAAAACTATTGCTTATAGCCTTCACTACTGCTTTTTTTAATTTCAGCAGTAGTAAGGGTAATATATTTTACTTGGAATATTCTCCAAAGGGAATTTTGCTGCAWTGTGAACTGACTTAATGACTACATAGAGCAGTCGTAAATAAAAATGCAATGAGCTRTTGATTGTCGTTTGCTTAAATAGTTGCATCACTTCCAGTGCATTTAGGACAATTACAGCTGTGGTATTTAATTGTGTTATTTTCATTGTTGTGCCTGGGTGAGACTTACCACTTGGATTTTGGTATTTTGTATTGCTAGTGGTATGCATTTCCTGAATTTTGAAAACATGTATTTTTTACTAATAGTTTATATTTGTAGTAGCTTGTACGACAAAGGTTTATAGTGTCAGATTTGAGTGATGTCATGTGTGACTGTTACTGAAAAAATCAGTTGATTATTTGGATTATGTATGAAACTCCAGTAGTTTTAGTTTGACTATTTTTAATCTAATTCAGGAGATCAGCCAAATCCAGCACCAGCAGGGCAGGTTGACTATACCAAGGCCTGGGAGGAGTACTATAAAAAAATGGGTAAGTGTGCAGGGGTTTTTCTGGTGCATGTGGAATGTTCTAGGAGACTTCTATATTTTACTGAATGAGATGGGGGTTTTTACAAAAAAACAAAACCAAAAARAGCAGTGTCACATGCTTTTGAGTCAAATACTGCTGAGAAACAGACTTTAATTTTGTGACGTTTTTGGGTATTCCATGGTACTCAGGCTACTAATCAGCTGTACAAAAATACTTCAGAACTGAGTATTTTTAATCATTGGRAAACAAAATTGTTTAAAGTATATTTCTTAAGTTTTGAATTTCACSTTTAATCTACTTTATGACACTGTTGTTTTCCTTGTTTGATAGTTGTTTCCTAATGCTCTTCAGATAACATAAAAATTTTTTTCCTTGTAATTTGCTTTCTGTGRTCCAGGTTACTAGAGCATCATAATTAGCTTTCATTTATATGGCRCCCTTTTTCACATAGTATATTCTTTGCAGCACTCCAGAGTTGTGTTTAAACTGCAGGTTRTATGTTATTGGTAGCTTTTTTAATAAAAATGAAATTAATTTGCTGATTAAGTTGATTATTTAATTGTTCTCTGTATAAGGAGAGTATGTGKTTTTTTTGCACTGGCAGAAGGTATCATTGCCTTCTGAATCATGGTAATGTCCTGCAGGTCAGTGTTTTGTCTCTGGTRTCTTGCCATGGATACTGTAGGTGATGGAGCCCTGGATACTGAGCACCAGTRGCCTTAGGAATGCCAGTGCTTACCTTAATACCTCTGACCAGACATCCAGCAGCGTCTGGTTTGAGATATATCTTTGTTTGCCTGGGAGGATTTGGTGGCTATTTAGCCATCTTCCAACTTCTCTCAGTTTTCTCATCAAATATTAAAAGCATTCGGATTTAAGATTAGTAACATCCTTAATTCCTCTTACCAAACTTGCACTGTATTGATAATTATTTGCCAAGACATAACTGTTGTTAATTTTGGCACAGAGTAAGCCATGAAATGAAACAGAAAATATGTAATGATTATTTATTTCAAGAATTGTGTGTCAGGCTGAGAGAACTGCAACTCCCAAGCATGTGATTTCTAAGATGTGATAGGCATTTCCATTTTGTTTCTTCCTTGTTCATTTTAGCTATTTATTTTCAATTTACTGTCTCTGTTAGATCAAATTCTAAAATGCAAGATTGTGGGTGGTTTTTGTTGGAAGGGGCTCTGCCGTCTTTCTAATTTGCTATCTTGAAAAGCAAAATCTGGGTTGCACTAGTCTGGCACTTTCCCTGATTAAATAATAGGTAGTTATAAGGTGTTGGGATAGAGTTTATGGGACCAGTTCCAAAGAGGAGTGTGAGCCAAAAAAACACATTAGGAAATAAAAATAGTTGCTCTTAAAATGTAAAACGCTAAAAATGCCAAGACAGCCAAATGAAAACTGCCCTCGTGTTTTGCCTCTTACCTTAATTTCTTTTTCTAGTTTGGATTGAGTTCTTTGCCTGAAGGAGATGTCTGGACCCATATAACTTGATCGTGTAAATCACGAGAACTTTTTGCTGCAGAATCTTCTGGTAGATATAATGGTAGATATAATTTCTCTTAAGATACACTTAGAAAAGAGAAATTCAGCTGGAGTTGATGTAATGCTAAATGGTGGTGGGTTTCCCCACCTCACAAAAAACAGTTTTAAGAAATAGTAGAAGATCTGATTGACAGGGAGGCTGTCCAGCAGCAAGTTCATGTTGTGTCCAGGCTCTCCAGTACTGTTTGTGCTCCCTATAGGACTGTAATCTTCTGTCCCTATTAATTTGTGCCAAAGGATTGGAATTACAAGTCACTCTTTTGACGACTCAAGTTTTTCACCGCACAGATAATTTCACCAAATATTATTAAGGAGAACTTAACTGAAACTTAGACTTGTTAAGCCAAATCTGGTTTTGCTGTTGAAAACTCTTGTAGTCTTTGTGGCAAGCTTCCGAGGGCAACARTACTGAGCTGAGCAAGTTGCCTGTGATAGAGCAATTGCTGTTTAGGGTTTTCTCATACTTAGTCAAGTATTGGTGATCGGAAAATGCAGAAACACTCCTGAATATGCCCATCAATAACAAGAATACTGTTTTCAAAGTGGCTTCCTACTGGTGTGATATGACTCAGCTAATCACAGAGAACACTATTTTTTTCAGTGACAAGTGACTTGAAAATTAACCTGTTTTCAGACTCAAAAATACACTGGCAAAGTCCATCTCCTTTTCCAAACTCTTYGTTTCAGGGCTGCTGCTTTGAGTAGCAAATGCTCCCAAAGGTCTCTCATGAACAAGTTTTCTCTAAACATAAAGTCATGATAATTAGTAGATGATCTATATGCAACTACTGACATTTGTAAATTTATCATTTGAAGTCATTGTCATATATTGTGGGCTTGACGTACAGTTAAAGGATTACATAATAAAATAGTGGAAGTGTTTTTAAAGTATTCCTTAGCATGATAGTGGGAAAGAAGAAACAAAAAGTTTTCTCTCAGTAGAACCTGATGTTGAACTATAAAATCTGCTCATGTTTCCTTTCTCAGCCCTCCTGAAAGGGGACGTGTTCTGTGTTTCTCGTGTTTCCTTTGCATGGAATTTAACAGTCTTATTCCTAAGTGTTCCTACTGAGTTTGGATATTGAGGAGCAGGTGTTGCTTCAGTGCAGCTTCTACACTTAAGGGAAGTTTCCATTAAACTGCTGAATTCCTTGCTTGTAGTTTCAGAGCTACTCAAGGTAGCTAATAGGGAAATGGTGCACTTAAAATACCCATTTCAGGATAGAAGTCCAGTTTTGCATCTTCGAGTAGATATTAAATTTCCTGTATTTGATTTATTACTTGAATTTCAGTTCCTGCCTTGACATAGTTGGCTGATTGTCTGAAGATTCTTGGGTTATAATGTGCACAAAAATCCCTTTTCTTTGACATTCAGTTGTTCTGACAGTAATCTGTAAGTATAGTTATTATCTCAAAGTCATGGTGAACTTAAGAAGAATGTATCCTGGGATAATTTGTAATCATATTAAAGATAGGGGATTTTTTAACAGTTGGTCAAAARTGTAAATCGCAAGTTGTGGTAAATAACTTGCAAGTTGTAAAATGTCATAACAACTCTAAAGATTTGAAGAAATAAGTTTTTCTAGAAGTTCCTTTACTATACAAGCCAAAATATAAGATGGTAAGTGAAAAAACTATGTAAGTTGTAAAGGCAGTTGGAAAATGGAAGGTTGTATTTTGATGGCTTTCAGAATAGTACTTTGCCAAATACGTTGTCTGCTCACACTTAATGTTTTTGAGAGGACTGGAAGACTACATACGTGTAGGAGATGTGTGAACAGCTAGGATGCTTCTTCATTTGAATTTTCTTTGTTAAAGTATTTTTAAAAACCAAACAAAACGAACCTTCTGTCTGATATCCTGGAAGGCACTTCATTAGAATTTTTGGTACTCGTGTTCCTCAGAGGGTCGTGTTGCACAGTGGTCTTGTTTCAAATAAAAGGTGAGGTGGTTTCAGGTAGGATTGAAAACCTTCAGCCCCTCACCGTGTGGAAGCTGCCCCTTTTTGTTCATAGCATTTGGGTACACATGGAATTGTATAGGCAGGCATTTTGCTTGATTTTGTTTACGTAGGGTGATGGGATGTGGTTTGTTTTTGTTGGGTTTGGGGGGCGGTTTCTAGTATCTTAGAAAAACCACATRCAGGAAGTGGAATTTTGGTAGTATCCTAATTCTGACTGTAGAACTTTTAATTTGAAAAATAATCCTTTCAGAATGTAAGTCAGAAGTGTCATAGCRCAGTAATAAAAGTTCAGGTTTGGAAGTTCAGGAAACTTCAGATGAAGCACTGTGTATAAAGCACTTCTGTCTGGGTGCCTGCAAGTTTATGTGGACAGATGCTTGTGTAGAGCATAGAGAGTATTGCTTTGCTTACAGTCTCGTATATTTTGCAGTGGTAAGTGCAAAAACATTTCTCAGAAATTGTAAAGAAGATAGTGGTACCGTGAGGGGTGTATTTGATGTTTCTGAAATAGGGGGGAGAAGGAAGTAAAGGTGTCTGTGACAAATTGCCTGTGGAAGAACAGTATGATTTAAAGGTGGGCTGTAATTTTCTTTGATTGTTCTGCTTGCTTTTTTACTATGCTGAAGAGTCCTTGTGTATCAGTCACTGTTAGGGATTTTAGTCTGTCAGTTGATTTTTGTTGAAAGGAGCAGTAATTCTGGTCTGTCTGGGAGAGTGCATTTGTACATGCTCTTGTTTCTGGAGGACTGGAATGCCTGCAAAACATRGAAGCAAGTTTTCGGGACTGTATTCTTTGGTGGAGTAAACATTTGCAAAAAATTAATGCTCTTTTTGAAAAATATAACCTGCAATAACCTTGTAATTGCATGAAGGATGCCAGAATTGGAGAAATACATGAATTAGCATCTGCTGAGCTAATGAATGCAGTCTGTAAAATAAGATAAAATTAGTCTACGTGTTTTATGAAAAAGTTWGCCTCTTGGTGTGTATTTAAATGCTGCTGTTGTTTAAGTCAGTAGGCTTTAAATGTGATTCATGGTTATGACTCAAGAGGCAGAAAAAACAGTCCTTCTGGTYGCTTAATTTTGCTTTACATGGGAATCACTACATTAAAGTAATAGCATGAGTGTTTAGGCTGAAAAAAGCAGCCACAAGTTTATTCAAAAGCCTTGGAGGAATATTGCTAGGTGATTTTTGTTAGGTAATGAGATCTTGAAATTTTCACATTTGTGTTGCAACACCAAAGCTGTGTAATTTTAATTACTTGCAGGTCAAGCTGTTCCTGCCCCTGCTGGGGCTCCTCCGGGCGGTCAGCCAGATTACAGTGCAGCATGGGCAGAGTACTACAGGCAGCAGGCAGCGTACTATGCTCAGACAAGTCCACAGGGAATGCCACAGCATCCTCCAGCACCACAGGTACAGTTTTAAAGTGGTTTTTGGCTGGCTTCTGTCTCAGTGGTTGTAGATATTTTTTTGCATGTCTCCTGCTTTGTTCCTTTGGAGTATGCATCTTTTTTTCTAGCAAAATAGCTATCAGAATAATTAGTAGATGACTTTGTTTACCTGGTAACTTGAGTTCTGTATCTATCCATATGTTTGGTGATTGTTTTTTTTTTTAAAAAAAAAGAAAAACTTTCTCCTCCCAGGGTTTTGAAAACCATGCAAGAAGCCACCACCATTTACATTAACCAATTTTTCTTTCTTAAAGGCTTCACTCCTGAGTTAGCTCGATTTAAAGGATTTTCTTTAACTTTTTGTGTATCTCTTATGTATCTCTTCTGCACAGGGCCAATAATAAGAAGTGGACAATACAGTATTTGCTTCATTGTGTGGGGGAAAAAACCTTTGTTAAATGTATGGATGCAGACGCCTTGATGAAGATCTTAATTTTGGTTTAAAAAATAGTGTTTTTGAAAATGTACAAAATATCTATCACTACTGATAGGAGGTAATATTTCTGTGTAGAAATGAAAAAATGGTTTGTTTTTAGTATTAGTGTAGATGTACACATTCCAGCAAATGTATTTGCAATTATGTGGTCAATGCTTTGTGATATAAATGTACTTTTTCAATGTATACTTTATCACTTTTAAAATGCCTGTTTTGTGCTTTACAATAAATAATATGAAACCTCCTGTGTCGGTAAGTTGGATATGTGGGTATATGCAGAATTATAGGATTGATTTGCAACGCTGAATCAAGGTACCTGTGCACAAATGAGTTGGGTTTTTTTTTCCCCCCATAAACCTTGTTGAGTTTAAAAACTTGTCATTAGCATGTTTTTCCCCCTTGCAGAATAGCTGTAGATGGAGAATCTCTTTCATTCATTGTATTTTGCTGCCTAGCACCAGTAATCTTGATACCTTAATTTTCTTTCTACTTGATTAAAACTGCATGTGTTTAAGGAGATGATCTTTTGGCATACTTCCATTGCATTAACAGTGAAATTTCCTTTTATACATGACCACTGTTTGAGACCTGTGCAGCTGCTATAACAGATAACTTTTGTTGTTTTAATTGAATACTTCAAAACTGTTCCTGCATAACTATTTTATGGATTTTTCAGAGTAGTTATAAAAACTTATTTTAAGTGTAATGTGCTTAAACCTTCAGTTTAAAGTAGTCCACTTCAGAATTCAGTGTAGAAAAGTCAATGTGGTAATGCATAGTAGTTACAAATGCGTCTGTCCTTAAAACACTGTTTTGTTTGAGTGTGGGAGTGGTTGAGAACTTCCTGCAGAGCAGATAACTTCTCTTGTAAATATTCAAGTATTTGAATCAACTGACTATTTTTTTATATATACTTGAAACTTCTTATTGCTCTAATGCTCATACTAAAAAGCTGATTCTCTTGAAATCCTATGTTTGCTCTTTGCATATTTATTGGCTCTTTGCATATATTAGACTACATGCACTACAGTCTGTCTTGCCATTGTCTGTTGAAGTGCAGGTTTGATCCAGCCAGTATAGAACTAGCTCTATAGGGGTGAGGAGGACTGTGCTGTGTATCATCCTTGATTGTTCCTTCAAGGAGCATTGCACTGTAAGTACATCAGAATGACAAATTGATGAACTGCAACAGTATCTTTTTGTCAATGTTCCACATAATGCAAATGCTGTACTTGTGTGATATTATGTTGGAATACAGTGCTGGTATCTTAGGAAATCGTAATTGCTTCTTAATTCAGAAACGTAGGTTGCTTATATATATACATACACATAATAAGAGTTTTGTGGGTAAGTATTCCTGAAACTTTCAGCAATAGCTAAAGAAAATCTTGTTTCTGTTTATCTGAGTAAGAGTTTTTTTCATTAGTACTCCTGAGACAGCTGTCATTCAGTGTTTTAAAGTATGCATATCATAACATTGAAGTCTTTGGAACCACTTGTTAGACAGAGTTGTCTTTGTCTTCAGATAGTTTGTGGATATGTAGTGATGTAGGTATGTTTTAAATAATTCTATAACTGTTAATTGCTTTAATTTTTGGAACACCATGTTGTTGCTTTGAGAAGAAGTTTTTTTAGGGTGGCTGCACAGAGAAGTAAAAGTTAAGGCTTGAAAACTGAAGTAGTTTTTTCAGGTAATCAGCAATGTATGTATTGTGATGTAGAAATAGAAGGACTTATTTTTATCCCTTTTAAATTTAGGAATTATGCTGGTAGCTTGAAAAAGGCTAGGACAGTATTTGCTATCTTTAGTGTAGGGTATTAAGTTTATTAGTTCAGATATTTTGCATGGTATTTTGTAGATAACCTTACAGAATGGTGCATTTATTATGTACTAAACTGAGAAAAATTAAATTCACTGGATTCTTTATCATTCACAAAATGGAGGCTGTTGATTTTGATTCATTAAAGGTATAAAATCTTTATTAATTGCAAACAGTGCAATTATTTATACTTCACAGTGCCTTCCCAGACCTTCCACCTTAGGTTCTGCTGCAAAAAAGCAACAGGTAAGCACAACCTAAGGAAGTATATAAATTAATATATTTCAGTACATTAATGTTGTCCCTGTGAGATCTTTGTGGTTGTGTATGAAAAGCAATCTGCTGCTTCCCCAAATGCATTGTTACTCACGGTTCCATTTGAGTGGAAAATCTTAGGTTTTTRAACAACTGTTTATATTTCTAGGTAAATATGTATTTTTTCTTTTTTTCTTTTTTTTTAAGAAAAGATAATTAGATTTCAGTAATTGAACATGATCAGAATAAGTGATTTTTGTTATTTTACCTCAAATAGATAATTGTTGCAATTACAGAATCAAAACCTTTAAAATATGCAGGAATCGCTTTGGTTAGAAATGTCAACAGCCTTCACAAATGTTTTGGTTTTTTTTTATAATAGGGCACTATTCCCACTTAAACCATAAGACCTAAATGTACAGAATGACTTCTTGCTGTTATCGCTGAATTTGATAACTTGTCTTATAGYTGCAGTGTGTTAGTGGAATCTTTAGATAACTTAGTTTGCTTCTTAATACTTGACATGGTAGGAAAAGAGATTTTGGAGTTTGAGATTAGTATGTTTTAACTGAAAAAGCATGAGCACCAATTAAATCTTAACAGTACAGCAAATAATACTTTATTGCTATAGCAGTCAGTGTATCCTGTTTCTTGATACTTTCAACTGAATTGCTGAATATTTTGATAGTATAAAATGTTATATGTCTTACAGATGGTCTGGTACAGGTTTTTGTTCTGAGTTTTTGTTGTTGGTTTTTTTAGCTTAACATAAAGCAGCATCTCTTTGTTTTTTTGTTCATTATTCTGTTTCTAAAATGTGCTGCTCCTCTTTCAAAAGTCCTGCTTATCTGTACATCAAAGAAAAWTATTCAAAAATACTGCCTTCATTTTCACACACAGTGCTGAAGATGCTGCAAGCACCAAATCATAGCTCATAGAATCAGGTCCTGAGATAGTTACTACCAGTAAAGAGGAATCCTTTGAGTGTATGCCATTGGTGAGCCGATGAGCATGGACCATAGAAGGGCTCCATGTAGAAGGTAAAATTGGCAAAAGCATAACAGATTTGAAATGTATCCCATACATAATGATGTAGGGTATAATTTTTGTTTTGATCACTTTTCATTCTTTAAAGTATTCTTTGTTTGACCATAAATGTTTCATAATCTGTTAAGTTTTTTAAACTGTGATTTAATAATATAAGCCATCTATTTTAGTTTATATTCTTCTAAACAGCCAAGCTAATTTTTGAACTGAATTAATAGTTGTGCTTCAGTTTCTCAAGCCACTTAGTGTTTCATCTGTAGTTTAACATGTAACTTCATTTTTGATGTGAGATGAGGGTAGGTGTGTACCATTTGGATTTTGATACTGTGAATTTAGTATGGGGGTGAGTCATCTGTTCACTTCCTTTTTACGTGGTACTTTTTTCTTCAACTGTTACTCCTAAAATATCTTGAACAGTCTTTCAATTGTTAATTTAGCCTGTGGGAGGAGATAGAGAAGAAAAAGCCATACAGTGTATTGGGATGTTGCTAGTCTGTGGAAGGTGAGATGGTCTTGTGTGTAGCATTTGACATGTATTGGCTTCCAGCTTTCTCACTGCTGGGCTTACAGGCATGCTGGTTTGTGCAGAGCATAGTGTTTTCAAATGTCTCCTAACTCATGGTTCCTGGGAGAAAGATTATTGGAGTTTTCCAGTAGCCAAGAAGATAACAACTTCCTTAGAAATGCAGTGAACTTGGCCAAAAGGTCTCTTGAAATGTTTCCCCTTACCCCGCCCTTACCACTTAGTGTCCCACAATGAATGTGAARAGTAAGAAAAGTTTGAAAAGGAGGYTTAATATTCCAAGTATGAAAAGTATTTTCATATGATTTCTGCAGCCTGTAGTTTATTAGGAGATGGAATAAATACCAGGTGGATATTCTTTAGTGTAGCTTAATTAAAAGTCATCTGTTTCACTTGTCCAGCAGACAGGATCATAATTCATTTGCACAGCCTATCTTGAAGTATTTCATCTTTTTTCTAGTGGTATTTTATTGGATATGGTAGAAACTGTTTCTCCCTTCTTCTCTTCAAAAGTAATTCTTAAGTTTTCCATTGCATGCTAAAAGCTTTTCCATTTTTCTTTTTTTCTGGAAGTGGGGGGGAGGAAGGGAGGACTGGGCTTTTCAGAAAGCWTACAATTGACAGGATTCCCTCTTCCCTAGTAATAGCTTATGAAACTCTTGTGTATGCACAAATATTTCTCTTGCGTGCATGTGAAATGCCTTTTCGTCCTGAGAAAAGTGTTCTCTGCAGAAACTACCCGTGTGTAAACAGAAGATTGGCTTTAAAAGGCAACTGTGATGGGAACAGTGTCTTAGGGAGATGCAGCTTGGACTTGAGGTAAATTGAATGCTTTACAAAAATGTGGTTTTGAGCTTGCATTGACATTGTATGTAATATGGGTACACATAAACTGTATAATGGTTTTTGTATGGTTTTTCTCAATAAATGTAAACTGATGAATAATAATAGCAATGGTTTTGTCTTTTTTATGCTCRTATCCCTGCCTTTGTTAGTTTGAAATAACATATTCAGAGGAAAAATATTGTAGCAGCCTGTAGTTCTGTGAATGAACATCATCCACAAGAAATTAATTCAGATGTTTATGTGGTTATTAGGGTAAATACTGATTCAAAACATGCAGCTTGTTACCATTTTTTATTGAGCCAAAAGTGTGACTTTCAGTAGGTAACTGTACAAAGAAAGTYAGCATGTTCAACCATAGGAAAATTGGGTATTGAAATGACTGCTTRAATTTAATTTACTTGCCTTTATGTTTCAAGGCCTATGTCCTTTGAAATGTGACTAGTTTTTTATAAAGTTACTCCCACAGAAGCTTAATCTGAATGGTTCAGATGGTTATAGCAGAGTGACATGAATGTTGATGTCAGGGGGTCTTAGAGAAAAAGAGTACAGCAGCCTTAAGACAATGTCTAGAGATGTGGCTATAAATTTATTGTGTTGATAAAATAGGCACTTCAAGAAAATATTTTTCTTAAGCCTTGCTTTTTRCCAGCTTAAAATAGGAGCTAATCATAGATTCACCACCTGTTCCTGTGTTATTTAACCAATGAAAAAAATCACAGGTTTTACAAGGAAGTGTTGGTACTATGAAGACTAATAGAAACCTAAGGGAGATTGTTTGTTTTTATTTGAGATTATCAGTTTAATAGGTCAATCAGAGCAGAACAGTTTCAATGCAAGCCCATTTTAAAACAAAAGAAGTAATGCTCCTTGAAACAATGGTGAGCAGTTACATTGTCTTTTATTCTTTCAAAATAGTACACTTGGGTTTTTGAAAATAATTAGTTAAGTATTTCCTTTGCCAGTTCAGTGCCTCTGGGATAAAGTAAAACAGCTTAAATACTCAGTGCTCATGCAAGATACACCAATAGATTTACACTACTACACAAGTTTCCAGATCATGTATTGAGCTTTATTCTGTTAACACAACAGTTGGTCTTCAAATAYGGGAGCACTATGATAATTCAGGTTTTTCCTTTGGTTGAGCTTTCATACATTGATTTCTTATTTTTAGCCTTTGATGATAATTTTTGCATTGAGTAGGGAACTYTCACAATTTGAAGGGTATTATCTGATGCAGGAATGACAATTTAATGCATATCCTTGCTTTCTTTAGTTGGCCCCATCAGAGAAAGAGATGATGCAGTAAGAAAGTTGAGGGGAAGAAAGATTCCAGCTAAAGTACAGCATTAGTAGTCATCAGCTAGAAAACAGAAAAAGGTTTAAGAGAGACAGGAAATTAGATTTTTTTGTAACAGGAGAGATGCAAGAAGACTAAAAATAGAGCAAATTAAAATGCTAGCTCTTACTTTCAATGGTGAGAATACAGGTGCTAGCAGCTGAGCCTCTGTTGTTGACTGCTTTACACATATATTCCCCTTCATCTTCTGGGAAAGTTTCTGGCAAGTAAAGGCAATAGGTTTCTCCTCTTTCAATATATTGATAGTCCTCAGAGTCCTGCAACATTTCCCCCTCAAACCACCATGTGACTTCAGGTTTTGGTTCTCCAGTAATTTTAACTGTAAATCTCACTGGTTCACCGTCAACAACTGATGTGTTTTTCAGTGACTTCTTGAACCAGGGAGCTCCAGATCGAGCTTGATCCTCATCTTCACAAGTAGAGCCATTAATAATGCTTCCCTCGTCKTCTTCTTCCTCTTCCCTTTTCTGTTTAAAAAAAAAAAAAAAGGTGGTTTAGAACATTTAAAGTGGCAATAACACTGACTGCTAGTGATAGATATTTGATTACAGACACTTTACTGTGTTTCTGAGAAGRAAATTACACATATGTGCTCACTACATAAAAATGTATCCTGTGGATAAGCCACAGGCGGTGAAATGCATTTTAATAAGGCTGGCATGTTGGTGTAAAATACAGGCATGAATGTAGATTCCATTTACAGACTATTAAAGGTATGTCGACACCTTTGCAGTGTCTCGTGTTCTTCTGGGAGTGTTCAGGCCTTGCTGGATGGAGCTTTGAGCAATCTGATCTAATGGGAAATGTCCCTGCCTACATCAGGGGAATCAGATAATCTTTAAGGTCCCTTCAACCCATACCAYTCTGTGATTCCATGAAGAGTATGTGAAAACACCAAAATCAATTTTATATTGCAACAATTCCTAGCATTTGCTAGAAGTAACRTGTTCCTTTTGTATCTCTGGTACCGTGTTGCCAACAGTGGTAATTGGAAGTTAAGTTAAATGACACTTAGGACTGCAGAGTATTTATTTTATACCTTCTGTAATGCTGCATCAATTTCTTTTTGTTCAAACTGCATGCGTAGTAATTTCTGTTCCTCAATCCTCCTCTGCTCCTCTTCTTCTCTGGCTCTTGCCATTTGTTCAAAACGAGCCTTCATGTTTACTTTGTGAGTAAATGGAGCCTCAGATTTCTTGGCTGGTATCACATCTACATTATCATCCTTGGGAAAAATAATTAAAAACAGGACTTAACTATTACTTATTGCCTTTTACTTACATATATGAGCGTAAAACTAGTTTTGTGTTCCCAGAGGTTTTTTTAACTGAGGAAAGCCACACAAACCTGTTTTTTTTTTCAGAGGGTTACTTAATATTGAGTGTAGGGTAAGTCTCATAATAGTTCGTCCCAGGGATAGGACAAGATTTTTGCTCAAGTAATTTAAAAATTGATAGGTAGAAAAACACCTGACATTTTTTTATATAGAARTTGAGCACTTCTTGACAATGGTGAATCCTCAGTGACTGGAGTTTTAAGCCATGATGTTAGGGTAGGTTCGACACCACACATGCAGTTCAGCTTATGATTCAGGAATTTGTGTCAGTCGCTAAATTAGAAGCTCAAAAACAGGACAGGCTTTGAGCTGATGCTGWAATGAATGCTGTGGAGAAGAGCCACAATGAGGCCCAGATCAGACTTASTACCATTAAAATGTTACGCTGTCACGAAAATTCACACTGGGCTTATGGGTCACAAGCAACTTTGTTGATGGCTCCATTTCTTGGGTTTTCCCCTCTGAAAAACTCAAGGTTTTGGTCTGATGTATAGATCTTTGAGTAGGCATYCTCTTGTGCTTTCCTCTGAGGAATGACTATACATAACTAAGACTTGATCTTCAAATGGTATTGTTTAGGTTTRGTAATTGCATTCTTTATTCCATTTTTACAGTGGAGAATGAATTGGGTTCAGAAGGAGAAGCAATTCAAGTGATGATTAATACATAATTCTCGGKTATAGATGTTTTAAGCCCTCAAATGGGCAGGTTTCAGGTCAAGRTGCCAAACTGGGAGGCTTTGAGCAGAAAAAATCTCTGCTTGACCAAACAACTGATAACAAGCTGGTGCTGTTTCTTTTAGGGATCCTGAGGTGTGATATACTTAGGCATCCAAAGRAGGGAACAGGAAAGAAGGGAAAACGTAATTTTGGAAACAGCAAAATTGTCAAATCCAGCATTGTCAAATCCTGGATCGTTAGTATGCTGGTTAAGTATACCATTAACAAACAGAATGCAACTTACCTCTTGAAATTTTTCAGCTTCCCTTTCTCTTATTTCTTCGTCCATTGCTCTTCTCTTTGCTCGCTCTTCTTCAATCTTCTTCTGTATTTCTTCTTGAGACAATTGTCCTATTTTTTCAAACTTGCTTTTTAAATTCTTTGCCTGAATAGAACCACTTCTTTTCAGCTTTATTAATTCTTCATACTCTTTGCTTAACTCAAAAGTTTCAGACTCTTCTTCCAGCTGTTCAGAAATTGCAGAATGTGTAAGATAGAAAATGCCCTAATTATTTTTCTACCCTTTCTCCCCACAGATGCTATAGTTCACTACATCACAATTCTCTTTAATTATTCGAAAGCAGTACAGAGACTTTTCCCCTGTAATTTATTTTTTTCCTTGCTATCTCAAGATGAAAACTATCTAAACTAGATACAGATTTTAGAATAGCTTGCTTGAATATGCAACCCTTTGTTCAAGGGTTGCTGTCAATAAACTGCCCTTCATAGACTTGGAGAACCAGACACCGACCAATACAAAATAACTTACTTATCCATAATCCAAAATTTACCTCTTCTTACATGCAATATACTATGAAGTAATCCTCTAAAATACAGCTGTTTTGTTAAAAAATACTGGGTTTTATATTTTTTAAATTGAATAAAAAGTAAATAACAATTCAGGATATTGTGGCTGGAAAAGAAAGGGCACTTTTGGATCCTGTAGTTAAACCACATTTGAATAATTACTGATAGCACTAATTACTGAAATTTTTCTCCCTCCTTTTATGACCTCTGACTGATTGTAAATGCATGTACATGCATTTTAGCTTGACATCCCTCTCACTGCTTCCCCAGGATTAGTTGAGGACATCACAAGCTAGAACCTTTATTGCTTCCTGAAGCCTTAATCACCTGATGGAGTTTGCAACAAAAATAATAAATTAATGTAGTTCCCTAACACTCAAATGGGGATAATAAAAAACTGCCACACACAGCCAAATCGAAGTGTAAAGTTCATGAATGTGATGTTTGGGATGTAAAGCAGATTTTGTGTATGATTTTTTAAAACAACTGTGACAATCTTCAAACACTTGATACACCASTTAAAAAAAGAGATGAGCCCACTGTATTTCCTTTCTCATTAGGCAGCACAGTATTGCCRTGAGGAAAAGCAAGAATTTTGCCCTTTCCTCTTTCTAATTTTGCGTTGTCTTTTGGGAACTAGATATTTCTGTTCTCCCAATATTGTAAATATTACCTAATTATTTCAGTAATACTCCAGAATTTTCARAACTTACTGCAAAACTAAATTACAAATTTGTAACTGCTTACTTTTAAGGTGGCAAGGGAAAAACACATTTTCCTGGTTGATTAGTGATAAAAATATGATTAGTGATTAAATTAGTGATAAACATTATATGCAATGTTTTAAAAATGAGGTTTTCTATTTTTCTTTCACATAACTTCTTTAAAAGGAAAATTTATTTACAGTCTTAGAGATATTAGTTATTACCTGATCTATTTCTAGTCCGAGCATGCATAACACATAGTTTGATAAACAAACCTCTCCCATTTCTTGTCTCAGCTGTTGAAATTCTTGCCTTTCCATTTCCAACTTTTGTCTGCGCTCTTCTTCTGTGCGCCTCTTTTCTTCTTCCATTTTTTGTCTCAGCATCTCCTCAAAATTAATTTCCAGTTTACCAGGTATGAGAGATTCTTGAGAAAATGTTTTAAACATTTCTGGTGATTCATCATCCAGCACCTGTTGGACATGCAGAGCATTAATTGTATCTGTGATGAAATCGCATTGTTCAGACACTTACGGAACATAGAGATAAGCAACTACTTTGTCACATCTGCCCCAGTACAGTCAGGTGCACTATGCCAATGTGGGTATTCCTCTAATATTGTGGGAAGGAGTGGTTTGGGGGCTYTGTATTTGACTTAAGCTACAATGCTAAACTTTTATAATGAAGATGAAGGCGTTTTTTAAAATGCAGTATTTTCCCTCTGAGGGGGAGGATGCCCTCTAAATGCATCTTTARGGCCTGAATAATTCTTGTTTACTTTAGACTATCATTAGACAAAGTGTGTTTAAGTGTCATTGCTCTTAATGTTGAAATACATTTATCTGTAATCTTTTTTTTAAGCAATCTGAATTCTATTCCTGTTCTAAAGCAATATTAGCATTCCCAATAAGGATAACTGAACAGAACGTTCAGAAGAAATGCTTCTTTTGTGCACAAATTGTTTATGCWAAGTTATGTGGCCATTTATTGGTTTATACATCCACCAGCATGGGTTTCCTCCTTTCCCTGTCCTTGTCTGGCTTGAGTAGGGTTMGGCTTGGTTGGCATTAGGAGTGGCTGGCCTACCTTTTAGACTAATTCATAAGAAAATAGTAGGGTCTAGGAAAGGCAGTTTTCATTATTTCCAAAGCAGGAAGTGTAAGAACAAATACTTTATCAGACTAAATAAGGTTGTGATAAAACTTACATGAATGTATGTTTATGCCTGTAAGTGTATAAACTTACAGTTGTGATAAAACTTACATGAATGTATGTTTATGCCTGTAAGTGTATAAACTTACAGACTGTCTCCACAGGAATGTTCTGCAGGTAAATATGAGGTGAGATCAGGTACTGAACTGGGCAGTGATGTGGCTTTTGGCACTATTTAATCRGCACACATTTGAAAAGTCTTGTGGCAATCATGGAAGAGCTCAATGTGTCTTAAGTTGTAGGCATTCCCAACAGCAGTAATCAGTCAAATGATAGAAGTAATTAAAGGAGCAACGTTTCCATTTGAGAAAGTGTTCTGACTATAAAGGGACAGAAAATAGACATTTCTGAAAGAGCCTTTGGCACTTCCTCTGTTCCTACTTAGTGCCACTGTAACCCCCACCTTCCACTGCTGTTGGTGTCACCTTGGTTCATACCACCCTCTTGACCAACTTTACCCATATTTTCTTTGTCACAGCTCCTTCATTAGTTTTTTTAGCCCAATCCCACTTACATTTTGCTATTCACTACAGATGCTACTCAAACTTTCCCTCTGAGTAAGCTTACAAATTGACTTGAGCACCACCATTCCTTCCGTTCTTCATTTGTTCTCACATTTGTGCAATGTGAGCATACTTGTTGAAATTGTGTTATGGAGAAGTGAAGTCAAAAATCAAAGCTGTAAACTCTTTCCTATAATRAAAACAATGCCACGTAGTTTTCAGAGGCTGCCCATGACTAAATTAGCAAAGAAACATGTAAGTCTCTTGCTTGTGATGCATTCATAAGCTCAAGACTTCAAGAAGATACTGAGCCTAAGTGACCAGAAGCATCAGTTCTGCCTGGTTAAAAACCACAAAGATTCAGCTGAGTTGTGTGATGTACAAAACCCCTGTGGTTAGTTCAGTAAAGATTTTAGCCTTATTTTGTGAAATGAGGCCATACTTTTTTTCCTGCAAAGTGGAAATKATTGGTAGTGAGAAACATTCCTGTACCAGTTATGGTTTGCAACACAGTCAACAAATATTCGGAGGACAAACGGGGAAATTTTTTTTTTTTTTTAACTTGTGCTAAGACAGGTTGGTTTTGCAGTCTCTACTAGAAAAAGATGGATGGGGATGAAAGATGATTGCATCTGTGTGAAAGTGATCACACTGATGCTGGAGAGCATGGAAATGTGAAATAGGGAGATCTATAAGGAGGTGACATTTGTGTTTTCCAGCCACAGTACTACCATTTCTGTGTGTGTATACTTCCAAAACTAAATTAAAATTAATAAACATGGAAAGTTCCTAGAATAACTGTTTAATGTTCATTTTTACTGCCTGCGAAAGAGGACTACTATGCTTTTAAACATTTTAGGACATATCTGCATTACTGCTATATTTTGTAGCTGTGCAAAAGAAGGAAAACAGAGGGTTATATTCTGTTACAAGTAGTAGCAAATGTGGTGTTCCTATTCAGGATGCTACTGAAGAGAAAACTTTTGAGTATATAGAGGCTGAAAATAYACTTTAGTAAATTTTTCCATTACAGACCATTTTCACTGTCTGCAGTTAGAACARTCACAGTCTGTGCTGCATCTGATGGATTAAACCCTGGTTAATCAGTGAGATTTTTCTTGCCCAGGCACTTGAGTTTGAGTTCTTGTACACAGAGGCCAAAAAAAGTCTCCAGTAGCATTCTTTTGTTGGTTTGGGGCTATTTTTAAGTGGTTTTAGATTCTGTATTCTTTGGGGATATACACAGACAATTTTTCAGTACAGTATCAAATATAAATTTACATTGTAGCTTCTCTAGATAGTCTTTTTTCAGCACAGGTCTTGTCTTTGGCCCAATTTCCATGCAGAGGGAGCCCTGCTAGCAATATCAGTACTCATGCAAAGTTTGCATTTCTCTCCCAACTATTGCTTTGAATGTTTAAGAAAATATTAGGCATGCACTTGGTCTTTCCCARTTCAACCCCAGAGGACAGTGTAGGAAGATGCCACCACATGACTGAGTTTATTCTGCAGCTCTAGACTGGCAGATCCTGCCCACCCTTTTGAAACAAATGCTACTTAGTTTTAGTTTATATTTCTGTAATATAATATATTTCTGTAACATAATATAAATGCAGTAATTTAATACTGTATTTCCTGATATCCACCAATAAGTAACTGGCTTACACCCAAAWGCCTGCTGAATCTTGAAGTGGTTGGAGTAAGTATGAAGATCACAGTTAAAAGCTCTCTGTTTTTTTTTAAAATACAAATAGTAGTTTCCACCCTCTGAAATTGGGCATCTTTCTCTACTTGTCAGGTAGTGTATGTCAGTCCTAGCCCTGAAAATTTGTCTCCAGTATAATCCTAACTCAAACTTTGCAAGTCCTTGCATATGACAGAAATCTGTATTTTCAAAGGGAGATAGTATTACAAATTGTTCTAATGGTAAACACCACAAGTTATTTTTCGTGTTTCTCTAAACAAGCATTGAAATATTTTAAAACCATCAATTACCTGTGTTCAACCTTCTTAATTTTTCCTTCCTGAAGAGCCACAGATGACTGGAAAATTCATAYTTGCAGTGAGAATTTTTCTACTATGTCATTAATTGTGCTTTAGCACAATTTAGTATGAGATAATTMATGGACACCCTTGTAAAGGTAGGGGGATAAATTTGGAGCTGTAAAAGAAATTGTTCTTCCCAAAAAATCCCAAAAACAACAAACCCTTCTTGTGAAAACATGTTGGTTCCCAAGTTCACTGCATCCAGCATAACAATACCCAGTGGATATAATACCTGATTTTGACTAAATTATCGAAAATCCTCTCTAGGCTTGCTGTGAGGAGGGATTGTTCTGTGATGATTTTTGGTAAACTAACTTGACTACTTTACCCCATTACCTTCTAATAAATAGTGAGGTGAGCTAATTAATGAAGAAGTTCAAGCATGTATTCCTAACTTTGTTTAATTAAAGCTTTTCCCCAGAGTTTCTTTCAAGTTTGAGATTTAGGTAAAAAACCAAATTCTATCCTAAACCAGAATACCATACCATGTTCTTCCTTGCTTCAGCAAATGCTCTTTTCTCCTCCTCTATGCGTCGTCGTGCATCTTCTTCTGCTTTCCTCTTTTCCTCTTCTCTCCTCTGTCTCTCCAWCTCCTCAAAACTGAGTCTGAGTTTACCAGGGCGAAATTCTTTAACAGCATTTTCTGATTCTTCCTCGCCATCTTCATTTATCTGAAGAGAATAGGGAGAGGAAAACTTAGAAAGCACCAACCCAAACAAAAAACTATTCTTTATAGTAAATAAATACTCCATTCCTTTCTGATCTTTCATAAATACTGTCTTCTCCTTGGGAAAAAAAATGTATCAAGARTTAGGTTCCTCTGAGAAACATYTTAACCTTTATTTTAGGCAGGGGAGGGAAGAAAAAGAATTTCAGTATCCTCAATGTAGCTTTTATAATTTTTAAAAATTTGTTGAATGTGTAATTAAGGAATAATGTGTTACTAGGAAGAGGCTGAACAGTTAAGTACRTACTTTATGGTCTCATTGTTGGATCAGTTACTGTAAATCACTCTCTATTCACTTTATTTATATCACTTTCATAGACTTTTATATCATCGAGTCATTTTGTTTGTATAGAAATTGTTTTCATCAGTGCACCAGTTAAAGAAATGCTGTAGAGTCATATAGCAAAACTGAATCAATTAGCATTTTGCTATTATTCTAGACTGAGATTTTTGTTTCTTTTCTTTTTTAGGCATTTAATCATCACTGAAGAAAAGGAATTGAGATAYTCTGATCTCCTCACTATAGCTTGTCTCCAGTGAACATTTATCAGCTAAGAGAAGCATTTGGTTTGCAAACTGCAATCAAGAACCCTTTCAGAGGACATYCCAGAGTACTTTATCTGTTAATGGAGGAAGTGGACTGGGAACTGTCAGAGTACTGATAATCCAGATCTCTAAACTGTGAGCAGCCCTGGGACTGTGGGGTATGTGGGGTAGCCCATTAAGGGAATTAAAAAACTTTTATTTGAAATTCATAAGTGAAAAACTGAAAGAATTGAAGGCAATTAACAGCTGAATTATTAATAAAAATTACTTCAAGTTTTGACAACCACTGGTCAGCAGGTACAGCTGCATGTTAGAAAATTTCTTTTGATGTGGAGAATTTGTAAATTATATTACTTGATAAATAAATGCATAAAGATAAGGGAGATGTGAACTAATCTTCAGTTAGAACACCTAAGTGACTTCATGAAGTTCACTCTCCTTGAGTTTCTTCCCTCTTCTTCACTAGAATTCTTTGCCCAAYCCCAAACAAAAAAGAAAAAAAGTGCATTATTGGCATAATGGCAAGGTTATTGGTGTGAAACAGCTGAGTGATTTATTGGAGATGAAGATGAAAAACTACAATTTAGGTATCCTAAACCTAGAACTCTCTCAGTATGGACCAGTTGGGAATTAATGTGTTTCAGTTTTCTAGAAGTTCTGTGTTGTTGGTTTTGTTTAAGTTTGTTTCTGTAGAATATAAATGTCTTGAATGTTTTTGAAATATAATCAAAATAATGATCTAGAGCTGTTTTTTCAAGACTGTTCATGCATACCCTGTAAAAGTTAGCAAATTCCTATAATTAATGTTTTCCAAGTTTTTATGTAAGATTAAAATCTCATTTCTTGTTAATCTTGTTTGTATGTGAATTTTGTATGTGAATTAACAAAGTCATAGTGATCATGACTGTACAGGGGAAAAGTATTCAAATAGAGAATTTTAAARATGCTTTTTGGTAAAGTGAGGAAATACAGAACTAAACTGCCTGGTTATCTTAGGTTAATCCTAAATGTATGATTCCTTCAGTATGATCAAAGAATAAGCTACAGTGAGGTCTATTTATAGCTGCTCTAATATAACTCTGACTTATGATAAAGAACACATATGGGGGCAGTTTTCCAAGTAATATAAAACAGGATCTGTCTGCTGCATTTCTGACTATTTGGGGAATTCATCTAGTAATTCACGGCATGTTGTTGTTTATGTCAGTACATACAAGAGAGCTATCTTTTTTTTTTTGTCTTTTTTTTATTAGAGGAGAGTTGTAATTGATGTATATTTCTATCACATTTACAAATRAATACGGGGATAAGAAATAGCATTTTGTTAGTACAGAATGTTTGCATTAAAAACTGGTTACTGAACTATGTGCAGCACTACTTAAGAACAAAACAGTCATCTTCTGGAAGGCTTGCAGCTTAAAGTACTACAGAGTGTAGCTAGAAAACCTTCAGAGTTGCTGTCAGAATCAAAACACCTGTATTACTTAGGTTTACTAAAAAAATGTCTAAAGCATTACACCAGTGTGGTTACTGAGTTAGAGTGAAGGTCAAAAATGTCTTTCAAAAATTCATTTTCAGACTCTTAACACCTTGAAATAAAGTTAAGGAATAAGAAAAAAGAAGAATCACATATATCCTGTGTGCAAATTCTGTACCAACATGAACAAAACAGTTCCTTACCATTCGCTGTCTGGCTTCTTCAAARGCACGTCTTTCCTCTTCCAAACGCTGTCTTGCTTCTTCCTCTGCTTGCCGCCTTTGATTCTCCTGCCTTTGTCTTTCCAGTTCTTCAAATGTTACTTTCAGCTTACCAGGAGACAGAGGCTCTTGAATTTCATTGTCTTCATTTTCACCCTGTTTAAGAAAAATGARACAGTCCTATCTTAAGCCAATAAATACCTATTGTACAGGTATTTTTGGCTGACTGGTTTACCTTGGCAGATGAAAGGCACTTGGGTTCCTTAAGGAATTGGGTTTGTTCCTCAAATTTTAGATTMATTCCATCATCCTGTGTCTGTCTTTGTTCTTCTCTCTCCTTTTCTGTGTTCTCATAGTTTATTTTCATCTTCCCAGGTGTCTTGGTRGATTTTACAGGCACTACTGTAACTAGCAATGAAGCATCTCCTTCCTGTCCAAAAAGATATTTATTATCTTTTCATGAAACTTGACTTCTAGATAGACTCATTTCTTAATGAAACTGATATTTTAACCTGTGTGCACCAAAGCTTCAAAAAGATTTATTTGTATTGAGTATTAGCCACAAAAATGAGCCCATCTGCCTGTGGCAGTCACTAGTTTTCTTCTAACATCTGAAGAGTATCAAGACTGAATTATATTTTAAACATAACTGCTGGCAAACCTCTTAATTCCTTTTTCATTAACTGTTAGCTATAAAAACTCAAGGTTTGGAAAAGATCAGGTGTAATTTTGAATACACAAAAATTGTAACCACACTCTACTTCCAGTCTTTACATTTATTATGTAAATGATAATGACCTGCAGCTGGAATAAGCCAATAGCTCAATAGAGAAATACGTAATTTGTGATTTCTAATACGTAATTTATCAGGCATAGTAATTGTTTTTTGAAGGATGCTGCTTCAAATCTATTTTTACAACTCACTTGCCAAAATATATTTTGCCCATCTTTTTTTCACAATCGAATTAGTTAAAACTGATMATTTTGGGGGTTTATTTTTTTCTTTCCAAACTGTAGTAGGAGTGTGATTTTCTTGTGTTAGTGAAAGACAATAGGACCTTGGAACCCAGCTTTTTGACATTAAACRTTTATTTGCAAGACTTAAAATCAAAACCCATATGGTAAATTAGTAAAAAAAAACAACTTAGTGAGGTGTTCAAATATCTGTATATTGTCAAAATCCCCCTKTAATTTCAAGTTTAAGGCAAAGAGCTTTTAAGATAATTCTTTGCAAAGCCAGAGGAATTAGAAGTATCATTCCAAATATATATCAAATAAATCTGGTGGCTTTGAATATTTACATTTTAGATGTTTTTAATTAACCACGAAGTATTCATAGTCCAGGCTCTGTTTCAAACTTCAATATATTGATTTCAAGTACAGATATAGTTCCACATACATTCAAAATTTGTTAGCTTCTTGGTTGAACTTCAATTAGCTATTTGTGTGCTGTTTGCTAAATTTTCCCAACCCGAATCACAATAATAAAACAAAGTGAATAAAAACGTAGGTGAACATTTCTTTAAAAAAATCTGATTACCTCAGCTGCTGATTCAGTCCCCGTATTGTTAAAGTCATCAATCTATTAAATGAGAATTTCATATGATTACATTAATTTGGCTCTTTGCCTTAGAGTTGCAAACGTAGAACTGGAAATTCTTTTTGTATCAGTGATATGTATGTAGCACTCAAATTCAGAGATGATAAAGACTGAACCTCTGTTGGAATACTTCAGATAGGTTAGCTTGTCAAGGAAGAGGCACCATGACATAAAACATCCCACACAAAGTCTGCTAAAGCATTCTCAACACGTCAGTGCTGAACCAAGAACAGTGCTTGAGATGTCCATTCTTCATTTTAACATTCCACAATTGTGTAAAAAAATCCTAAAGCAAGGCCATTAATTATTTCTGATCCGAGTGATACTGTCTTCCTCTCAACTCCTGAAAAAAGACTAATGCTGTGTTTGCTTTCTAAAATTCTACATTTATGTACTTCTGCCTTGCAGGGTAGATTGAATATATGCTAGATACAATGCATATTAAAAGTACAGTTTCAACAACACTAAAACTTACAGTAGAAGAGAATATCTGAAAATTTACTTCTATAGCACTTTTTCATTTCTTCAAACAGATTCAAATCYAAATTAGGTGCTACTACCATTGATAAATAGAAACTTGCCTATGTTTTTAGTCTATCATTYAAGTGTTTACTCTCACTGCAGTATTTGCAGTGAAGAAAACTTGGAAAAGGAATTAAGTTTGACATCCCTTCACAGAATTCTACAAAAGACAAAATTTGCTTTATTGGCATCAACAAAAGTTGGAGTCTGTTCATATATATATATATATATATATATGTATATATGCAATGATGATTCATAAAATGGCAAAGGAATAAAACATGATCTGGATCTTCAGGATTTATGGTTTTTTACTGCATTAGTGTCTTCTCTTTTTTGCCTGACAGTGGCATTTTCTTATTCTTGCTWGCCTTAGTTCATGTAACTCTATTCACTCACTAACTTATAAGCAAAAATTATCTAAAGTAAGAGTTGRTAAAATACAAGAAACATTTTCAAATGAGTTTAGTAAATTAAGATGCATATGACACACAAATTTGTGSCTGGTTCTTACCAGGTTTATGCCTGCCTGGTTTCATCTGTAACTCGATTTTAGAGCTTAAAAGAAAATTGTTACTGTAAAGAAATGAAGAGCCCTCTGAACATTATTTCTCATTTCCACCCCATTGAGCATCTCCCAGGTAAATCACTCCTATCAGAAATCTAAAGATCAAATCTTTCTGATCAATGCAAAGCATTCTTCATTTTTATTGTGTAGAGTTACATCCTGACTGTTGTGATTGGATGAACATACCTCCTGTGCCTTTTTTGCCAGTTCTCTTTGAATTTTTCTTTTCTCAATCATATCTTGTTCRATTCGGCGCTTTCGTTCTTCTTCCGTTCTTTTTCTTTCTTCTTCTTGCCTTTGTTTCTCCATCTCTGCAAACTTGCCTTTAACGGTTCCTGTGGATATGAAATGCACAGCTCAGCAGTCACATCTAATWCTTACCCAGTGGATTCTGTGGCCTTTAAAGTTGGGCCTTTCTTACCTATTAGCTTTGGGACATAACCCTTTTCTATTTTAGATAGTTTGGTGTCATCATCTTCATCAGATCCAAGCAGTTCTCTCATCTAGTTTATGAAACACAGAAAGTAATCTGTATTTATAACTTAAATTCCAATAATATTGTCTTAGAATAATGTGAATGTATTTTCAAATATAATATTAAATATTTAAATAATACAAAATATTAGCAAAGAAAATAACCTCCTGCTTTCTCCTGTTCCATTCTCTCTCTCTAACATATTGTTCTTTTCTTCTTTGCTTTTCATCTCTAGATCTCCTTTGATTTCTTTCTTCCCTTGCTTTTTGCATAGCTTCAAATTTATCCTTTACATCACCCTTGTGAAGCTTGGGCACATAGGACTTTTGGACGGGTTTAGATGAAGAAAGCAGAATCTTGGTGAAGATATAGAAGARATGAAGATAAGAAAAAGAAAGTTGAAACAGATGGACAGAAATAGACTGGATTAGAAAGAATGTAAGAACATAAAACAGAAGAGCAGTTGATATTCTGAACTTTGTGCCATGAGCCATCATCAGTTAAGCATCATTGTCTTTGTTCATAAATAATCATAAATACTAAAATATTCAAAACAACATTTAAAATTATATTCAACTGTTAAATTAGATACAGATTTACATTGTTCCTTTCAATCTTAAGCAGTCACCAAAGAGACTCTGTCCCTAGCATTTAAAACAGATATAAAAACATAGATGTATAATACAATATATATGGAGGATTTTTACAACACTTCAACAGCCATCTATAGTTTTTAAATAAACAGGAGTATTTTTTAACTTAGAACTTCCAATAAATTATACACTTACATTTTTAATAGTTAGAGAAAACCAGAAGCCCAGTGTTTTTATGTTRTGAAGTGCAAAGATCGCTGGACTAGCAGGGCTCTGATGCTGGTACAGYGAATGGACACTTCTTTGCCAGTGATTACTCTGGGGGTGTCCAAACACCAAAGGTTCCCACTTTCAGAACTACTGTGAAGTTTACCCTTTTTACAGTGATGACAACAGAAATGTTCTCAATAAAGTAACACTGAGAAAACCGGCTAAAAACATTTCATGTTTTTCCACCTACACCAGAAGTTTTTGTTCCTGCTGCCCAGTAAGTTTATGTAGAAGAAGAAATATTTGAAGTAGCCTAGTATATTTACATTTTAGAATCAGTTGTAAATATTGCCCAGAATTTCACCAMCAATATTTATAGCTTCTTCATATTTTGTTGCCTTTATTTTGCCTTCCTCTTTMATGTTTTTCTACTAAAAACATAATTCACASATTCCATCAAATCTTAAGCTAYCTAAAAGCCCCCTTTCATTGTCTAAAAATAATGGCAATACCAGCAGACTTTCACTATAACTGTCTTCCACAATTATTTGTAATTATTATTTTTGCAAGCATCAGTTGTTAATTATTACATTGCCTTCATTACTTTAAAATTGGTACATACCTCAGTTTTCTGTGCAATGTCATTCATGGTTACTGTATTGCGCTCTGCACCTGGTATGTTTAAGATGGCTTTCAGTTTCTACCTGAAAGAAATAGTTGTAATTATATTCCTTTCTTTTCCTTTTAAATGATGCTTTAACCATCTTCCTGTAAATAAGTTTGCATAGGCTGAAATTGATGTATCACAATTTCACTTGGTCCTCTGAGGCTTCTGAAGACATGAATAGGTTCTAAGTATGCCACAGTAATTAAAATAACAAGCTTATGATTCACTATTCATGCTCATAACTCCTCTATATAGTCCTAGATRTTGGGTTTTAATTTCCATTTAAAAAAAAAAAAAGCAACAACTTGGAGCCAAATTCTGGAATGTCCCCACAGCTCCATGCTCTGGCCTTGGGAGCTGAGAGCTGAGGCTGCGGGAGCTTTGCCAGAGCTCAGACCAGGAGCCCCTGGAGCTGCAGCTGCAGGAGGAGAGAGGGGCTGGGGGAGCCCCCTGCGTGTCACACGTGCAGGAAGGCTCTGCCTTTCACCCAACAAAATAATGCTGTCCTTTCTCCTAGGGCTGTTCCAGGGAACACACTGCTAAAAAACTAGGAAGAGGGATAGGTAAGACACACACAGATGAAGTATTTGTATAATCCAGTGCTGCTGCTGTCTGTATTGTATCGATCCTCTGAGTCCCAAGAAAGCCTAAAAACTCAGTGTACCAAACATGGTGCAAATAAAGTGATCAAAGATTTGAAGTAAAAATGCTGGAAAAGTAGTTTACCATTGGAAGGGACTTCTTGCTTGTGGTCGAGAGGAGCTGAAGTCAGGGGGTTTCATGATATGCAAAGATAAACCCTTATTCTTCAAATTCTCTAATACTTAATTGCAAAAAGTTACAAACACAGTAATATTTATGTGGCTTTAAAAAGAATTAAGTTTATATGTTTTCGTATAAACTCTTCCAAAATACACCAACATCACCAATGATGATGGTATGGGATTCTTAGATACCTTGGGATGTTTTTTCCAATGAAAGCAGTCACAACATATKAAACAAGAGCATTTAGCTACCAAGGCCTGTCCTGATTTACAAATTCTAAACTCTTCAAATTTGGCTTCTGTAGCCTCAGGGTCCCTATAGGTTTTACCATCCACTTGTACACYGTGCAGGATTTGCTCATCTCTGTAAGCTTTAGCTGATTTCTRTGCTTGTAAGTAAAATCCTCACTATGATCAGAATAACCTTAAAACTACTTAAAATCTTTTTTAACTTTCTTGTTTTTATAAGCAGGTCTTTGAAACAGTTCTCTGTTCTCTTCTTTTTTTACTGTGCTTTTTCAATGGCTCCTTCCCCTCTTGGGGCTGACAACTTTTACTCTTGTACTTAACRTACAGCAGCGTCTCCAAGATTTGCTGCAGGAAGCCATCAGAAAACAAAGCAATGTCATGAATTGGTGCMATCCTTGCACTGGAGTAGCCTGGGACATGAGACCTTCAAACCTTGAYATGGGGCCGGAGCAGAGAGGGAAGACTCAAAGTGTCACAAGAAATTCCATTTCACCTCAACACCTCAAGATAAGGTTTCCATTCATGTTGACTGCAGCAATGTACCCCATCAATAGGGCTTCATCTTAAAGTCATGTGAAAACTGACTATTCCAAAATCTGGTTTATTATCGTAAGAAGATGATGTTCATGAGTCAAGACTTTGTCTTGAACCTGATGGCTCCAGTCACCTGAATCTCTTGACAGTAGAGTAACAAATCTGAAATTTTCTTCAAAAGCGTGAATGCTGGAAGAAATTTTCTTTGCAAATTCCTGCAGTCTGAACTTCCCAAATAGTGCCAGTCCAAGAGGCTGTAGGCCTTCAAGATGGCCAATATGTTCCTGCCATTTGGATTGCTGCCATATCTGCTATTACTTTAGGCCACTTTCCAGTTCATTGGATCACTCACTGTTAATATGTTTGAAGGTTAGCCAGCTGGCTGTAACGCATTTTGCCTCTGCAAGTCATCCTACCTCCACCTCCGATGGTAAAAGATATCGAYAAAAGCACCAGGGCATTGCTAAATGTGATACCAATCATGTTTGCACTTTCATCCCTCTCCATGGCCCTTAAACCTTGAGCAGGACSAGCAACAGCACCCTGCCCTGGGCACCCCTCAGGGCAGATGAGTAATTTCCAATAAAGATAATACAAAATCTTTAAGAAAAAAAGAAGCACTGAGTGAGAGTTTGGGGTTGGGTATGTGAGGCAGTGACCACACCTTTTGGAGCAACCAGTGTGGACTGAAGCTCCTGTGTGTCTGCCTCACCATCACGAGAGGATCACAGTCAATGAATTRTTGCTGGGAAAACCCAAGTGGCCACATCAGGAAGTCCTGACACGTACAAATCGTGGAAGAACAGTKCCTTCCTCATCTGCCAATTGCTTTGCAAAAGTATGCAGTAATAGATTTTCCAACCCAAGAAACCTTGACCTACTGATTCCCTTCTGAGATGAACCAGTTATATTTTTAAGCTGTGCACTTATACGTATGTATTCTTGTTTTGTATTGTCCCAGAGTTCATCTAATAAAAGCAATTCTTATTTTTTGAGACAACACGAGTCTGCCTGTTCAGTTGCTTACTTCAGAAACTACTTCTGTTACAAAACTGTCAAATCATAATATCCAGTCTCATCTTTGCTTTTATTTCCCAGGATCAACACACCTCAGCAGAGGCTGTAAGAGCTCCTCACTGAAGCTTCCCACTCAAAAAAAAAATCCCCAATGACAATTTGGATATAACCATGATAAAAAAATTAGTTCAGCTTCTTACCCTTTGTGGACACAGCCAGCATTCACCTGACAAAAGTGTAGTTTTTTTTCTTCTCCAGATTTTACTTTTCCTACAAGTAAAATGGCCTAAAAGATTAAAATCTTTGATAATATTAGTCTGGTGTTATAATGTTTATACTGAAAGTATCAGACTGCAGGGCCCCTTTGAAAGGTCCACTCAAAAAAAATTTAGACTGCATCTACTGATTGATGGCCCTACCTCTGGAATTGGAGGGAAGAGAAAATGCCATTAAACTTGTCTGGCTGTAATGCAGAGAGGGATCTGTTAAGTTCAAGTGAAAATTTATGCCAATAATGTATAGGAGACTAGGCAACAGATTAGAAATACTCTGTAAAAAAATAAATTACTGTTTTCAAACATCTTACTCATTAACTGTAAATAGACAAGCGATCACCTCCAATATGCCTTGATCTGTTATGATCATAGCACTTTTTCARCTTTTCATGCAGGCTTCCTAAAATCTTACTTTAGGCAAAATGAAGTGAAAAAAGAAAACCATTAAGGGGACACAGAAAGTTTGATGGCTCACAAGTCCCAAAATCCATCTCCTTAAATTTAATTAATTTCCATTTCTGAAAGCAGGTCAGAGTCCTAAATTGATCAAAAAAATGTTTTAACCAGATTAAGAAAAAAAATCTTCCCATAAAATTCCCTTTCTTTAAAAAAATTCTTAGTTTTCTGGGATATGACAAACATCCTCACACGAGACACAGAAAATACCAGCCTTTCCCTGAACTAAGCACGAGTGTCTTTACAACAGGAGTATGAAGTCAGGACTTTAAAAACACGTCCAGTTCCTCTCCTCCCAAAGGAGGCCCCTGCTCTCCTGGCGGGCACTGTGAGTTATAAATAAGCCCTTCATGGCACAACCTAAGTTACGTTTACCATCTGTCTCCTCTTTGTGATCTACTTGCAGGGAAGACTCCATTATATAAGAAAACCATTCTGTGAGAGTTGGAAACTCACTGCTTGCAGCCAAAGCACCAAGGAGAGGAAAACACTGTCTCTAACATTGAAATATTTAACAAAATATTAAACAGAACAGGAAAGAAGAGGRGAAATGGTCATCATTTATGTCCTTCCCGTAACTGGTCTGGAATGACACTACCAGTTGTTGTACCAAATGACAGACACTGAAGGAGATACTAAAATTATCATGCATAGGGGAAGATCCTGAGCTGACATCAACCATCAGCTCCACTGAAGCCAGGGAGTTATGACAATTAATACCAGCTGTCTAAACTTCACATTTTATATAAATACAAAATGCCAAGCTACTTCCACTCACTTGTATTTCCTACATTAGGTCTTTCTAATTAAAGACCAGAATGCTTACWAACAAGTGGCCCAGATAATTCAATTTCATACACAATTTTTTCCTCAGTCTTTGAATTTTTCACACTTCAACTTATGAGAGTCTCATATTGTTGTAGAACAGTCCTTGGGGGTTCAAAGGCTGCTCCGGTAATGGGAAAATCCTACTGGGTTCTTCTGGCCCATGATTTCATTTTCCATGGTATCTGCTGATCCTAATCACAGTGGCAGGAAATTGTGCTCTGAGGTCCTCAAGAGAACAATCAGCGTATTTTGCCCTTGCCACAGTTCTTCCATTCCCCGCTGTATCATGGCAGCTGAAAATGAACTGAATGCTTTGAGCTCTGCTCTTGTTGGCTTCACTGACTGGACTTCAGAGATCAAGGTAATCCAAACACTGGMCATGAGGCACTATTGCAATTTGTATCTTCCCTTCCCTGCTGACAGGACACACAYCCCGTCTGCCTCTCAGAAATGCTCTTGGCCAGCTCAGCCTGAAGCAGGGGGTTCACCCATGGTGGTCATGGCCCCAGCTCTGCCTCTTCCACAAAGGAGAGGTCTCAGGGCTTCCCCTTGGGCAACCCTTCCCTGCTGGTGGTTCTGATTGCTGTGAAAGCTGGATCATGTGGGCCACCTTCACCTGAGCAGGAATGGCCACMTTTGGTGCACAGGAATGGTCACTGCACTGCCTCCTGTGCTGCTCTCCCAATGCCATGAGCTTTCCCTGCYGCCTCCCCACAGCCAGCTTGACCATGGCGCTGGTCCTCCTTAAAGGGATTTCAAAAATGGATAAGTACATGGACTAAATGCTTGTCTGATTTCTCCTGCTGAGAAAACTGCTCATCCAATATACTCCAAATGCAGTTAGAGAAAGCATTCCTTACTAATGTCTTAAACCATCTACCCAGCTTTTGTATTTCACCAGACTGTGCTTTCTACATGTACTATTCATATTCTCATACTTCTGCATGTTCCTTAATTGATACACTTGGCCCTCTTATAAGACTAATTAAAATTCATCATTTCATTTCATTAGACAATTTTCTAGGCGATCTAATGTCTCTTAAGACCCGAGACCTGAGTACAATGTTTTCTACCATACAGCTATTTGCTGATTAATTTTGGAATTCTAACACAATTCATTGAACATGCTTTTTTGAATATTTATGGCTTAAAAGAAGAATATTTATGACTTATTTACCTAAAACAAACGTGACAATAAATAGTTTGCAAGCTGTCACAGAAGCCAAATATTTTCTTCCAAGCCATTCTGTTTTACAGCCATCACTTCAGGGTGAAGCAAAACCCATGGACGCACTCAGCGTGACYGCACTGTTGAAGACCACACCAACAAAACTAAACTCCGCATATACAGACGGGCGATTTACGAAAATCTGGGATTAATGGGATTTCAAACTAACTTTTCCGAACCGCAATCACCCACCGCGGGTCCCTCATGGCAGAGCGAGCGGCCCCCGGGCTCCGCGTTCCCCGGGCAGCCTCAGCGGGGCCGCGGCGGGCACAGCCCCACGCCCGGCAGCGGCTTCGGTTAAACCGCCGCTCCCAGCCCCGGCCCCGCGCCGTGAGGAGCCCCCGCCGGGCGCTGCCGGCCCCGCTTCCGCACGGCTGCGGCCACACCGGCCCCGGGAGCTGTCCCCGACCCCGGGCCTCCCAACCGCGGCCGCGGAGCCAAGGGACCGCTGTCCCGCAGCCCTGAGGGCCGTGCTCGGTGCGCGGGGCGGCTGCGGGCGGCGGGGAGGAGAGGGAAGGGCCGGGGGGGCCGAGCCCGCGCTGTCCCCGCGGCGGCGGAGCCGCTCTTACCTGTGCGCTGCCCGCGCTGCGGCTCGGGGCGCTCCGGCGGCGGGCGGGCTGCGCTGCCGAGCGCCCCTTGGCTGCGGCCGCCGCTCCGCCGCTGCAACTTTCCATAAAAGTCGCGACGCGCGCCCGCCGCCCGCATTCCAGGCGAGCCCCGCGCCGCGGCAGCTGTCCTGTCCTGTCCTGTCCCGGCCCGGCCCGGCTCGGCCCCGCGGCTCAGCGCGCCGTGCCCGGCCCCTCGTTGGCCGCGCGGGGGGCGCAGCCAGCCCGCCAGCCCCCTCCCCGCGGCAGCAGCCCGGCCAACAGGCTAATTTTGGGCTGGAAGCAGCGCCGAGCTATAAATAACCGGGGCGGCGAGGCCGCCGTTCCGCTGCGCTCCCCTGGCCGCGCCGGCCCTGCCGCAGGGCAGCGGGRGAGCGGCGGCTCCGCGGGCCGGACCGATGGGACACACGGGGGACACCGGGACCCRCCACCGCCCTGCCCGCCCCGCTCCGAGCACCGCGGCTGTTCCCGGCCCCGGCCCGGKCCCCCGGCTCGGTACCGGCGGAGCAGCCCCGGCTCTCAGCCCCACTCACCGCCGCCGCTCGCCCCCGGCCCCGCACGCACGGAGCGCTCCGCTGCGCTGGCTCTGCCGGCCCGCGGGGGTTTTATACCTACGGCAGTCCGGTCCCGGGTCGGTTAATGGCACATGGAGAGAGATCAACTAATAATAGTAATGTGACAGTTCGCTGATGAAGCGGGGAGGAATCTCCCTAGCGCCAGACTGCGAGAGGCAGAGCGCGGTGGCTCAAAGCAGCGCCCGTCTCTGGGAACTTTGCAAAGCAGAGGCAGAAACGTGATTTTATTACATCTGAATACATTCCTTTTTTTTCCTGCTCAAAGATGACTTGTTTCCTACATGTCCGTTTGCACGGTTTCCAGAACAGAACTTTCTAACTCCTGTCTCTCTTGTATTGTGCCKGCCATACTGGARCCKAACTTCGAGCTGGGTTATCAATTTYAGTACAATAACCACATGATCTCAGGCTRTGCGGATCTGAACGACAGCCGTCAAAGCTAAAACACAAAACGGGTTGTTCTTCTGAAGTACAGAGCAGGCACTTTCCCCCAGTGCCACCCTCGGGGCAGCCGCACTGAAGCTCAGGAGAGGTTTCGGGGCATCCGACTCGCAGGGACCCACCCGCTTTCCGCAGATGAACACGGGCAACACGCAAAGCAAACCTGGGCAGACCAAAGCACAGAGACACTGCCCTTCTGCAGCGCTATAATAGAGGGCTCCATGTCCTCTATTTCATTATTCATTTTACTCCATAAAGGAGGTCTTAATCCACAGTTGGAGCTCAGTACAGCAGTTTGGCTTGGAAACAATTCCGAAAAATCTTGCCTCCTAAACCAAGTAGAGAGACAACAGCTTGGCATAGAGCTGTATGCAATAAAACTGGACAGCCCAAAAGCTGTTCCCATTCAATATTTTTTTCATTTATATAGTAAATTTTCTAATACTTGTTCTCTGTTGATTTCAGGGAGCAAACTCCCAATTTCAGRATGACAACTGGTATTGAAATTCCTTCCATATTAAATAATTTTGCATTAGATTTCGAGAACTGTGCGAATTCAAGTTTCAGATACTGTTATATGAGCAACAGTTGATTCACTGAAATATTTTATTTTATATACACAGCTGCAGTTCATTTAGGYAATAGAAAGGTCACAAATACTCTTACTGACACTTGATTTGACACATTTACTTTGATAGAAACCAAACACTACAAAAAGGAAGAATAATAATCATTAAGAACACATTTAAAGTGAGATTATTATTACAACTAAATTACAAATGATGTAAATATTTGATTCTTGTATAATCCCTATGCATTCAACATTTCTAATCTTATGAGTACCATTATGGCAGAAGAGGATGGCTTTTAAATTTAGTTTATTAGCATGGAAACTACCATTCAAAACTAATCTACCTAAATTTAGAGATTATAAACTAAATTCTGAGTTTGATTATGAATTAACCAGAGTAGAACTGCATCATGCTATCACAGCTATGGTGCAGCTCTGGCACTTGTGATTGCAGAGATGGTTCACTTCTGAAATTCTTGAGCCACACAGCTGGTGATCAACAGATATTCTGTACAAACCTTCMAGTTAAAGGTGTAGGTTGTATGAGAACTGATTCCAGTTCTGTGTTGCAAGGAGAGAGCCATCTCCCATTTAAACTTCTGTCTCAGGAATTAGTTACATATTCAGAATAGATGAATGCTTTTTAGAAAAAAGATTGACAAAGACCCAGAGGAGATCAAAAGCCTACCCCCATGTACCTGCACATTTCCCTGTCTCTCTCTTCTTTATTGTTTCTGAATCAAGTGTTTGTTGGTCACATAAAAACCAAATCCTGTATTTCTTATTTTGGATGGGAAATAACATCAGTTCCATTTCCAATCCAATTCTGTGGACTTTTGAGAGCTCTGAGTGTAYGGAAGTGCTCCTGTTTTAAGGGGACACATGTTTAAGTCAGATATTACAAAGTTCTTCCCCCTTTTCTAAATATTTTGGTTTTTCATTAGACCTTTCTAACTTGTCTGTTTAAAACAATCCTTTCATTTTTGACTGAAGACCAAGTTTCCAGGCTTTACTTTTTTCCAAGTGTCTGGAAACATTTATATCTCATGTGCAACTCGAGCATTTCATTAAGTAATATGAAAATCTCAACGTACCTTTAATTCTGTGAAAAAGTTGTCTTCTGTTTTAWAATTTTCTTCATATCATTTTATTAGACCAGACAAATCCCAGCAGACACTTTCCTTTGTTACCTACAGGTTGTACATTTGCTGTAGAATGCTACTTACTCTGCTCCTTCCCCTTCCAGCTATTCCTATTGATCCTGAACCCAACAAGACACTTTTACTGCTCCATATAATCTCTTCCATAACTTGCAAAAAGCTGCCAAAATACAGACAGCTTAAACATACTTATCTGCTCAAAAGTTAAATGAGATGGGTGAAAAAAAACTTCACATGCCTGTATTGAAGACACACTGTGTAGAAAAAAAAAGTACAGCATGGAGGATGGTGCCAAGTTCAGCAAGTTAAAGGGTRGAAATAGCCAAGAAAAGCATTTGGAATTTCTGTTTTATTACATATAGAGTATATTCTTTTTTGTTAAATAAACTATAATCAGTTGGCATTTCACACAAGTAATATGACACATTTTCAACATTTCTGTATTTATCAAATGAGTACAACAAAGGAGCACAATGCTTGCGTAAATTTCAGTAAAATCTATGAATTACAGGCCCTCTTTTTGAATGGCATCCTTTTGGGTTGTGTTTGCAACAAAGTTGAAATGTTTCTAGTTGAAGTTCGTTATGATATCCTAGATTTTAACAACATGCCTCTCAAGTATCTCATATTTGGGGTTACTCTGTAATTATTCTGTGTTTCTTAACACAGGAAAGATTCTTGTGGGCTGGCTTTGTGTGGCAAAGCATATGTAAGTGCAGTTTTAGAGCCCACAGTAATAGTGAAGCATTGCTTCARTTCACAGAAATTCAAAGGTTACAGCTCATCATTATTCATTACCTCTGGAACAGGAAAAGCCATTTCTACAAGGTCCCTYGTGCCTTCTGAAGGTGCTGTGCTCTTGTCTGAAATTCCATGGCCTGAGCCAAACTTTTACACCACACAGAGATGGCCACAATTGCTTAAATCTCCTCTTARACAGAYACCTGACTTCCCACAAGGAAGGGAGAAAGACACAAATTATTTAATTAWAAAACACTGCCTTCAATTCTGTTTCACGATTAATAAATCTTATCATACATACTTATTTAAAAATATATTTTGAAATGCTACATATGAACTGAGGATAATATTGGTTCATTTACCACCACATGGAGTAGTAATGGTTTTAAAACAAGGAGGTTTTAAATTAATTGGTGAAGCTAGCATAGCTTTTCAAATATAAATAAATATTTTAAAACACCGTAGTGATGTTTAGACATTTTAAACTAAAATAAAGTAAAAAATGCATACTGGCAGTCATTCCTGCCCGAATGGTGCTTGCATTTCCTGCACTGCTCCATTACACTGTAGTACCAAATGGCTGCTTACACCCACACAAATGGAATTCTGGGGCAGGGGCAACATGTTCAGTTCTGTGAGCATGATTACTTTATTGCACGAGCCACATGGTTCAGAGACTGCACATACCCCAGTCAAAACACTTCTAGATCYAGACACCTAATGATTTGGAGACTCTGCAATGAACATTTTGTACTATAAGCTTTTAAAGGAAACAACTCCATCAGCTTCACTTAACGAATCATTTGTGCRAAAGTACAGTACTTCATAAATAACCTTTACCCGAATATTACAGAAAAAAGCTTTGGGATATATGAAATATAAACACAGCAACGGCTGAGCTGCAGAATGAATGTAGGTATTTACAACAACACGCTCCCCAGCTCTTTTCACAGATGTACATTTAACCTCCCTGAGTCCTTTTCCACACTTAGTGACATGACGCATTCCCAGATGCTTGCTCAGTGACAGCCACAGCAGCTTCAGCATGAGAGAAAAGGGTGGAGAAGAGCACATCTATGTGCACTCCCTGCCATTGGCCAGAGGTTTGGAGCTTACTGCACTTTTGCTTCTAGCAGCCCACTGGTCACGACGGGCCCGTGGCCACTGACACAGGCACCCACGTGTCTCAGTGAGTCTGCCCCGAGATAAGCCAGCAACAGTTCCGTGTGGCGGATCAGCAGCTGCGTGAGGTCTTCAGCCAGGCTCTCCATAGTTGAGTATCTCACCTTTTCAAAATCAAAAATGTCTTTGAGGAAGAAAAGCACTTGATCCTAGTGGAGGAAAGAAAAAACAAGGAAGAACTTGTTTTCACTTAACAAGAAGGAAAATGTATGCAATGCTAACAGCTATTTCTTTAGCATGTTCCCTAAAAGCATCCAATTATGTATTATTTTGGTGCTGAGACAGAAGTGTGCTAAAACAGCTTTTGAAAAACAGTTCTGAGCTTAAAACATTTATATGGAAGTACTTATTTATCAACGGTTTCTTACCGTTAGCCTTAATCTTAGGAAAATGCAAATGTATGCTAATAAATAAGATCCTAATATGTTTTAACCAGAAAGATTTTTTTTTAATTTGGAGAAATAGTAATTAAAAAAATGTTGCTAACCTTGAAGAAGCAGCATAGGTCATACAGGGAATTTCTAGGACCCAAAAAGCCCCAGGCCAAAACAGGGCTGATATGTTCACATATAGCATAGAAATGTGCAAAAAATCCATCAGGCACCTAGTGATGTAAAAATTGCAGACAACAGTTACACAGTATATTTAGCATAAAGCTCTATTATTTAGCATTAAGTCTTTGTGAAAGCCTAACACTTCCCTCCTTGGTCTAATAAAATCTTCCAAAAGTGGAAGCAAGAGCTGCTGGCACAGAGGAGTTCTATCCTGAGTCCCTTCACAGAGAGTCAGGGTGCCAGAATTGCTGCTGCTGGCAAGGAACAGGGTACATCAGGCAGGTAAAGGGGCAGGACTGAATGTGATTTAGGTGTGGGGATCATGCAGGGAGATGGGGCTGAGAACCCSAGCACAAGCAGGTGAGATCCACGAAAAGATTCACGAGCTCGGTGTGCAGAAGTCTGAGATGCGTGTGTGGGACACTAAGTCAGAGAAGTGACTGACACCACCACTGACTGGACCTGCAGAAGGCTGAAAATCTTTCAGTTAAGCCTTTTTGCTAAAGGGCTTAACTGATATTAGGGCCCCCAGGAGCTAACTCCTATAACTGACAAATCTCTTGTCTAAATTAACAGGAGTAAGGGTTCATCACTCATTTATTCTGCCAAAGCTACAAAAAGAATTTCAAATTCCTAGGCAATGATCAGTGTCTKTGTTCCATATAATTTGAAGGGCAGCTTACCTTCATTTGCTGTCTTTTTTGCTTCAGTACTGACCAACAGCTTGAAGCTACAGCCTAATTGTGAAAAGAAAAAACAATGCAAGCCCCAAATCATTTTCCATCTCAAAAGAACCCAACTGCAGAATACTGTATTCTATGTTCTATATTTTGGGGACATGTATTTTCTTCAGTTTCAATCTTGTGAWAACATAAAGTTTCAAACTATAAAACAGCTGATAAAAATAACCAATATGTACTTCATACCTGCTATTTCAGATCCATCTTTGCAACGTTTTCTTTAGTTTAATTCAAATGTAATTTGGCATCCTTGACTGGTTTTACAGCTACCACAGTTAGCAACACTTACTGGGTTTAAGTGAGGACCAGTCCCTTATATTMTAAAGAGTTTGCTCAGACATAAGCAACTATTTTAGATATTAAAGTGGCATGTGAACACATTGAAATGTACTTTTTCATTTTAGCAAAAACATTCTTGCAATAGCTTCAGATTCAGCTACAGAGTTTTGTCCAAATATGGACCTGTGAAATACAATATACCAATATCAGCACTGGGCTTTTTCCCTCAGAGCCTCTAACTATCCTCATCTGACTCCCTCAGTACTGCAAAGAGAATTTAATACACACAAAACACAATATTACCATACAACTACAAAAATATAAGCATGTTACCTTTTTTCTTTCTCTAGAGGGGATATTTTAATTGAAAAACAAAAATAAAAGGAAAACTGGCAGTCTACAGATAAAAATGGATGAAATGACAGCAGCTTCTGTACCAGCTGATCATGGCAGTAACCTGTGTCTCTAACAGAGGGATGAGATCTATTTGGCAAATAAACAGGCACATATGAAAATTTATTAATTGTAATCAACAGTTGAATGCCTGTACTGTATTAATTACCTTTTGTTTCCTTTCAACTTTGTCCCTYATTCTAAATCTCTAGTCTATGAACCAAAACCTGGATCTAATATCTARGATGTTGCTAACAAACTTCCCTTTTGAAATTTGACTTCCTCAGAGAAAGGAAGGACAAGTCAAAGTATTTTCTCCAAAATATCAATCATTCTCTATCTTGGGCCCAGACTTGGAACTTGTAAATTCTCTTAAGGAAAACCTGATAATAAAATCTGTTTCATTTTTTTGAGGAATACCTCAGATACACACTCAGTACACAGCAATGTACTACAGATGAATTAGTATCATTACACATGAATACTTACTGTTTCTTTAAAAGAGGAATTTAACCAGCGATTATTTACTACATTCTGTATAGATATTGGTGGATTTTCCAAATCTTCAAATGAATCCATTAATATGAAGTCCAGAACAACATCATAAAAATTCAGATTTTTCACCTATATTAAATAAGAACACAATCTAAGTAACCTAGTTTCTCTTTCAGCAGTGGAATTCAGCATGCACTATATTCTAACACCATAAACATGCAGATTTGTAATTGTTTTAATGAATATTAAAAACACTTTGTCAGTAAAGGAGAAGTTCAAAAAGTTATGTGATTTCTGGTACTAAACTGATGAATGCCATTTCTCTAAGTCAGCAACATAAACAAAAAATAGTTGCCTTTCCCACAATTGTGAACCATAAAAATTTATTTTTAGAYCCTATGGCATTATTAAGGGCAAAARCACTTTTCAGAAATGCAACTCACTCCTCTAGCAGCAAGTTCCATTTCGGTATTATCCCAGTGATCTGTTTGTTCCAAAAAATATATCATTTCATCAAAGACATCTTCAAATTTCTTTGGATTCTGTAAAGTAAAAGCAGTAAGTATCAAGCAAAAGTAAAAAGAGAGATGCTTTATTTTCCCTGGACAGCAAATTCTGGTAGAAGTTACATAAACAATGAAACATCGATAAAAAAAGGCTTTTACCTTTCGTGCTTTCACAATTAAAGCAGACAAAATTTTTCTTCCACTTTCAGCAAGAAATATTCTGTTTGCTGTTTCTGAAAGAATTATCTAGAAAAGGGTTCAGAAAATATAGACATCTTCATTCACAGGTTATACTAAGTGACCTTAAACACTTCAATCAAATTTCATATAATTATCACCTCTGGTATACCTAGCAAGTTTCTACAAAGCCTTGGGTGCAAAGGTTCCAAAGCCAATCATCAAATTGGGACTCCTCTGAAAGTACATCTCATTTAAGAATTATAAAAACTTAAAAGCCACAAGAAAATATTTAAATACAGATTACACCATAAAAATGCTTCCACAAAGACTAACATTCTATCATTCATCTAGTTTCAATGCCATGTAGTTTAGTTTAGGCTTAACAAGAGAGACAAATCCCTCCTTATTGTTTACCTGAAAAGCTTGTCGAATACAATGAAGCTTGGCAAGGAAGTCACTGTCTCCCAGACATTCAAACATTTCAGTCCTATGTAAAACAGAAAAGTTTTCAAARACCATTACAAAAAGAAGCACAAAAATAGCCATCTAAGTCTAATTCCTAGAAAAAATACCCAGTACAAGGAACTTCTAAAAAGTGGTATCTAGATAGAATATTTAACTTTAATCCTTGCTTTTCATGGAAATAATGAAAGAGACATAAATCAATACCTTAACACCCGTGAATAAATTTTGCCTTCTTCTGCTAAGTGCATGGCTTCTTCATACAAGGGGCAATGGCAAAGGGAATCCAGACCATACATGCTACGAATTTCTCTGTGCTCTGAAAGCTGAAAAAAAATTTTGAAAATCATTACAGAGCTTTCCAACATAATTTGTGTAAAGATAAAACAAATTTGTGTAAAGATAAAAACAATTCAGATATGCCACTGAAAGATGCTTTTCTACATCTGCTTAAAACAAAGGGGTAACAATCAGCTGGTGAACAGAACAGATACAGCACCTCATAAGACTGACTTTATAACTCCTAAAACCTGAAAGCTACAGTTCCAAGTTTCAAAACTTTAATTAATAAAAAAAAAATGCAGCTTACTTTAGTGTTTAATTTGCCTACTTAAGTTTTTGAATTGTCTAGTTAAATCTAATGGATGTCAAAGCTGTTAAAATAATTGCCAGGACACAAAGTACTGAATGATTGCACCATGCAAATCTTTAGGGAGCTGGAAATAGTAACATCCTCCCACCCCTGTTTTAGTTTCACTGGTAAATAAGTCTGCCAGTTAGCAAAGCACACTGTATAAACCACTAGCATTCAGCATTTTATATACAGGCTCCCAAAAAGGTTTTCATTAATGGCAGTTTTAATTCTATTGTTACCATATAAATAAACATAAACTTGTAGACATTTTTAAAGAAAGAAAAAACAAAAACCAGATTAATAATCAAAGCACATAAATAATATAGGGAACTCCTGTTTATATTGTATTATATTTAATCCACAACACAATGTCTAGCAACAATTCCCACTACAAACATTGCAACATATTATTAATATTAAAGAAAGAAGTCTGATGTTTACACATCATTCAGTTTAGTTAATGACCAGAAAATTCATTCTAGCTTTTTTTTTTTTTTTTTTCAATATCCTGCATCGGGCAAACAAGCCTGTCTTTCTAGGCTATAAAAACAGAGCCTAGAAACATCTTTAAAAAAAACTCGAGGTAACTGAACTATATAAAAAGTTAACCTATATCTAAGAATGATTTTAAAACATCACATTAACATGTAACTTTATGTTACACCTCCATGAAACTTTTCTGTCATGAAACAATCTATGCTGAGCAGCTTTTCCTGTCCCTGAGGCCACACAGCCCAGTATCCCAATGATCCCAGAGTGCCCTCTCCACACACTCCAGAGGAGTCCACTGTAGCAACAACCAAATCAATTCTCCTGCTGAAGGGAGAGTATAAACACATGCCAATATCTGCTTTTGTCCATGGAAACATTTCAGCACATGAATAAGTTTGAGATTTCAGTACAGAAATCTGGTGTTCTGCAGCGTCACACGTTGTTAGATGGTGTTTATTTGCTGGAACTTGCACTGGGGGTTTTTTTATCACTCATACCAGTATCCTTTTACTGTTGGCAAATACATACAATTCCTTCCATAAATTGTCAGGTTCCATTTTAAATTGATTTGTTTGGCTAAAAGCACCTACGAAAACCAAGCCAAAAACACCCCTCTGTATTTCTATAAGATTTCTATAAACTTCTTGAATTCAGACTCAACAGTCAAGACCATAGCTAGAGAATAAATGAAGAAAACTTTTAAGGTCAACAAAATATACCTAAATGAGTAATGTTCACTTTCAGAATTTATCTAGTTTGAAAGTATTTTCATTCTAAAAGTATGCATTTGTTTTATAAGTTTTTCTATTAAAAGAACAGACCAGAGTAAGCTGACTTCCTTAAAGAGACCTACAGCTATTAAGACCAAAGATTTTTTTCAGTTTAATAATATTCAAAAAATCCACCTGAAAATATATGTTCTTACTAAACAAAGAAAGCTACACAGCTTTTAACTGAAAATACACAGGAKGGAATCATTCAGCCAACTGGAAGAAGCAGGAATATATTAATTTCTTTCAGATGTAAAACATCAATATACAAACACACAGAGAGACACATATACATAAATACATAGTGTAATAGGATTTTCACTTTTTCTTGTTTATATCTGTTCTACCTTTCTCCAGAATTCCTTCTTTCATGTTATGGTTGAGGAAGTATTAATTGTGGAACAATACATATATATTTTCCAAAGACCAAACCAGAACACAATACATATGCTAATTTATTTCTTACCTGATGCAGCTATTACTGAAGCCATAAAACATTCCATTTACACTATTTCATTTGCAAATCATGAGAAGAAACAGGTTGTGAACACATATGCACTTTGTAAACAGCTGCCCCTCTCTTGGAGGTTATAATTTCTCTGGTAAAAGGGATTATATTAGTTCTTACTAGTGAACTTCAGGCAAATCTTCCTCAGATATTTAGGAAACTGAGTGATGATCCCACTATGTACCCCTAGGCACTTTCCTCAAAAGGGCTTCAGTATTTGTCAGAAAGCTCCAGCATCCACATCCTGGCATTTACAGCTACGCTGGACACTGGAAAGCTCCTGGAGTCCTTTCTTGCCATTCTCTAGTGGTCACCTCTGTGCACAGCCACTGCACTTGGAGACTCTTCACACACCTCCAGGGATGACAAGGAGCTCCATCACAGCTACCAACAGTGCTGGCAGCTGCCAGTAACACACAGGCTGGTGGTGATGGACCTGACATGCCAGCCCCTAAATGTCTGCTACTTCCTCAGGGTTGGGGGTGGGTACAAGGAGAAGAACATGAAAATGCAAAGAAGAGATGAAGAGGTGATTGACACTACAGCAGCAATCTCATCTTGGAAGGCTTTCCTTCAGTCTATTCAAGGCCCGAGAAAGAAAGAGTGGCCAGTGACCACCACAAGGACATTTATGATGACCTGCAGTGCAGCCATCTAAGTTTATTATGTTTTAGTAACATGTACACCTTCAAAACTCCAAAGCTTGTAGCTCTAACTCGTGTCTAAGCCTGCCGTGCTGCAGAGCAGCCTCTGAAGATGACAACATGGATATTGTTCAGGCATCAGTTTTCTCTGGAGAGTTCAGCCTTAAGGCTGAACTTTACCTGCAGTAAAGAAATGCTGAAATAATTGCTCCAAAGCACCAAACCTTTGCCACTTGCAATCGTTTTTAAGTCGAGGATTCCCTGACTGCTTTGGTTTAAGGAACAGGCACAGTACTCTTATTTGCCRCCCACAAGTTGTTTCTTAATAAATAGAAAAAATTCTCAGCTGTGCATCAAGACCTTGTTGACTACCAAAATAACCACCTACATGAATGTAACAAAAATAARCAATGCTAGACCTGTTAGGAATTCTTTACTGGCACATTCAGCATTCCTTACATGAAATTACATTTACCCTATATTAATAATGCTGATGATGATCTCTTTAAAAGATAAAGACACTTAGAGAAAATATTTTCTTTTAAAAATGTAAGCTGCAGGGTRAAGTGAAACATGTTTTGGGATTTGGAAGGTGCAGTGGTGATAAGTAACTAAAATGTTTGAGATGGTATTTTAATAAATTGAAATTATGAATTGGTGTGTTCCATCTACGATCTGGAAGAAAACAGAAAAGCTGTCACTGATGAAAAGCAACTAAGGCTTTATTCACAAGTTTAAAAAAATCTCCCAAGCTTTGGACTGAGTTAACATTTTAACAAGGAAAGCAATGTTTATTTTATAACAGAACTACAGATTCAGTACTAGTCAAAATATGAAAATAAGATGTGGTAAATGTTTGAGCACAGACAATGAAGAGGCAGCAACAAAGCTCGCTGTCAGGGAGAGCAGGGAAGAGGTTCTGTTAGGAAGATGGAAAAGAAGCCAGGAAAGAGAGGGYACAGGCCTTTGTCTGGCACTCTCACTGCTGTATTGTTGCCAAAGGTGGCAGCTATTTTGATCACAGTGGATGGGAAAGCACGAGTGTGAAAAGTATACTAAACCCATCAACACAAGCTGATGGCAGCCAGGCTCAAATGGGGAAGAAAATACCATTGTTTATCACAGTAAATAGTATTAATAACCCAATTAGGGCTAACAGTTGTGTTTACCATCCCTTCTGCAGTGCTTCTGGAGCCTAAGTGTTTACAAGAACAGAAGTCTGTCTGGTCTGGGGATGGCAACTCTGCCTAAAATGTCTTTATAAGAATTCAGGCACCTGTGTGTTACAGGTGCCCAGACAGGCACAGCTTTATATGAGAAGTCATCAAATGAGTGATCCTCAGCACTCTCTTGATCATCAGCCATGGCCAAGTTGAAGTTTTGGCACATCTTCCTGCTATCCTGTAGAGCTCATCAAAAGGGCACGTGATGCAAACCCTGCCAACTGTCCCAGTTTTGTACAGCTCTTTCCTATATTTTGTTCTAATATAACACAGCATGACATTCTTGTTGCCTCCTAAGCAGTATCCCTATCAATTTCCATTCAGGCATCTATCTGTGTCTTGTTTTATGACTGTTCTCTCTCCTACAAGCAGGGAGCTAAATTTGACCTGACTCTGTGTGTCAGCACTGAAACACGAACACAGTTTCCAGTCTCCAAAATCAGAGTCACACAAAACACTGAGTTCTGCTCCTTGGGACAGGATGCAGAGTAGAAGAAAGCCAAGGAACTGTCAACACACAGCTTGCAGCGTGATGAGGCCACAAAAAATGGTGCTACATTCTAATTTCCTGGAAGGTGAAATTACTGGTTCCAGTAGGACAAAATCACAGAGTATAAACACATGTATGAATTTCAGAACTAAAAACTTTGCTAAACAGTTCTATCAGGATGTGGAGTTTAGGACAGTTACTAATGCTGTAACTACAATCAGGGAACTTATGATAAAAGCATAACTGTCTTATTTGGCCCCTAGGTGAGACAAATCCAAAGCTGGAAAAGCCTTAGACCTCTTAGCCTAAATTAAAATATTCCACTGTTTTGCAAGTGCAAGAACAAAAGAAAAATTTTTAAAAAGTAGATAAGCAAGAGGAAGCTACTTGACATCATCATGTCTAGAATAAAAGAACCTGGTATGTCAATTCAAATCCAGTTAAAGCAATTACTGTTCTCTACCAACAGCTGAATACWCTGGGAAGCAGTTCTTGCTCCTTCTCATTGCCATTATGTAAAGCAATTCCCCCACACACACCCTCCTGAGGACAGACAAAATGTTAAACCAATGTAACAGTGTATTCGTGCAGGAATGGCAATCCTCAGCTTGCTTTTGTCTGCACCACACAAGGATGCCCTGCAGCTACTACAGAGTTAACTGACCCTGTGGTTTGAGCCCAGTGGCTCCTGTTTACATGGATGGTGTTCTGGCCCAAACACCAAACTRCAATTTGTTCATGTTCTACTCATCTTCAGGGCTTCTGTCACCTACGAATTTCACTAGATTCTTCAATAAAATCTGAGAAAATCTGCTAYTGGCAAAGGCTAGAACAGCTGAAGAGAAAATCTTCATAACTTAGTCCTGGAAGRACAAGTTGACAGAAGTGGCTTTGAGGTATTAAATTGTAGAGAATATTTTCAGGATATTTAAAGATAATTATGTTTCCAATTTTGACTCAAATATTTTTTAGCAGATATTGTGACAGTATAGCTTCAGGAGAGGACGATGATTCCACTGAGGTGATACATCTCCTGGGGTTTTCTGTTTGCTTGGTTGGTTGGGTWTGACTTCTTTTTAAGCCAAGCAACACAAGTAAGCATAAGGGATTGTTCCCTTCTTCACATACTTGCAAAAACACAATGAAAGCTCATTGGGAAAAAAAAAAAAGAAAGATACAAAGTGTACAAACAATAATGGTTTACAGCTCCTCTCATGAGCTGGTAGAGTTGAACCAAGCTTGAATTGTGGCCTTGTCCAAATTACAGCAAAGAGTAACCAGTCTCTATGGATACAATCCTTGCTAGGAATGGATGCTAGGCATCACAACTTCATGTGAATTACTAAATCAAGATAATCACAATTTAATGTGAATTACTAAATCAAGGTAATTGCGTTATAGAAAACCAAGTCAAAACAATAGCAAGAATGCATGTGCAATTCTCTCTTTTTACAACTGTCTGAGTTTGGTAGTTTAGTCAYAGTGCATATATGAGAGCAATATCTATCACAAAATGGATCTATTGAGGCCAGCTGCCTCTCCTGTTTTTTGGAGAAGAGTGCTATTCAAGATCACTTCAGCTCCCCAGAGACTACAGAAGGAGATATTCCTCATTCAAGTAAGTGTGTCGCTGCTTATGAGWCTCTTTCAAACGCTTCAAGGGAGCTGTAGCAGACTCCAGCTAACAGGCAATGTCCTGTTAACCAGAGATTATTATGTGTCCTGTGTGCTCTTACCCCAGAGGATGACAGCGAGTGATGAAGTGCATTGTGTTGTTTTCCCAGTCTGACCAGTGGGGAGGCTCCCTGGCAGTCACACTCCTCCTTCAGGGACTGTCACTGCCAGCCTGAGGCCCCTTCCCAGTGGTGGCTCCAGGGAGCTGTCGGGTCCCTGCACACCCTGACAGCCAGACAACACTTCCCCAGCAACTCAGCCCCACAACAGAGTCCCCAGAAGGGGGACAACAACATTTGCCCAGAAGGTCCCCAGGACAGAGTCTCAGAGCCCTGGTTCCTATAAAGCAATTTAATCATGGTGCAACCACAGAGCAACAGCTCAAACTGGTGACCCCATATTGTGCATGGAACATGCTAAAATGGGTAGCTGTCAATTTCTAATAATTTCCTCTCACAAAACCCCCCAGCTCCAAAAAACACAAAACTTTCTTCATACACCTTTAAAGCATGGTAAGGCAATAGGAAAAAAAAGAATAGGAAAATATAAATCATGGTGAAGGGAACTACTACAGGCTCAACTGACTTCTTCCAAACTCATGAAAATGTGATATATTTTTCAAAAGTTTCTTCTTTATCCCCTTCTATTTAGGAGGAGTTGGGGATACATTATGTCAGTGCATAAAAACCAAACAAACAAATAAAAAATGTTGGTTCCAGCTAAGCCTGGAAAGCTTCTTTTTTCCCCTTAAGAGATATACATTTTGCTTACAATGATTAGCAAAAAATTAGGATTCTTCTGTTCACTGTTCAAATAGATCAAAAAACCTTTTAAAAAGCAATCTTTAAGAGTCTTACCTCAGCTGTGGAAACAAAGGAGTCTGTGGATGCAATACTTAATGTATCTCGAAGGCAGAAATCATCCGTATTATCCTTCACAGTAATGTCTGTATTTTTATCTTCAAAATTAAAAAAAGGTTTATTAGACTATCAGAAAATTTCATTTAAGTCTTGAAAAAGTGATTCATGTATACTTTAACACAGTGTTTCATTTGGAAGGCACAACATTGTACTGCTATRAGAGTAAATTCTTTTATGACCTACTAACATATATGAAAGTGACTGTGTCTGCCTTWAAAGTATATTTTCAAATATCATCYACAATGAATTGGAAGAAGAAAAAGACTTGGCCAAGGTTTTTGCCTTTTCTTTTATAGACTTGAGAAGATCTCTCTATMTTATATTACTTTGCTATATTGATCTAGACTCTCGAAGGTTTTGACTTGGCTGTGTTATGTTACAAATTGCTCAATGTCTTAGTCACCAAGAAATACCATTCTAAATAAAAGTCCATTAATAAACAAAACMCCATACCCACGTTTTAGTTTCACTTGAATTTGTTTCACTTTCTTCRTCTCATGCCTTTTTTCACTTGCTGGTTCTTCAGGAGAGCAAGTGACATTGTTAATCTTCGCTGCATCCTCTTACCCCAAAAACCTTCTCCATTGAAATAACACATCCAGAAGTATKTCCTACAGTATCAAAATTCTTAAAGCCTTTAAAATAACTGATATTTTTTTGCTTAGAATCATCTGCAATACAGCTTCTCTCAGTTTTGCTTTATTTTATTCTTAGATTTCAAGTGTTGTACTTCTTAGATGGTTTTATTTTCATATATAGAAACACTTTCACAGAAGGATTAAATTTGTAAATCAGTAAGTCAGACTTTGGCTGATGTGACCCATCCTAYATTCCCAGTGGAGCAGATGTATTTATTTTGGGTTACTTTACCTTCAGACATTACACATGTGTTCCTAAAAGTCTGTTTTATCTCCAAGAGTCAGCAGCAAGCAGCTACCCAATGTCATCCAGACCTGTTGCTAGGGCAATACTTCATTAAAAACACCATTACATAGAGAAGTGGCCAAATGCCAATTTACTGGGATGGTTTACTCATCACTTGAAATGCTACAAATCCACACTATTTAACTATTACTTTGGTGGTTGTTATGGTTTTATTGGTTACAGACTTGGAATGACAGCTCAAAAACTGCACAGAACAATCATCTGTCTTTGAGAATATTCACTGAGGGAAAAAATTATACRAAGTTTGGACAAAGATTTTACTAGAGTGAGTTAGGCAAATTGTAATYACAGCTTCACCAATATTCATATGAAGTGTCTGCTTTTTTCAGCTCATTCTTATTGGTTCTTTCTTTTGACCTCTTAAAACCAAGAGGAAAAGTACTGCAGCTTTCAAGYTGGTTGAGAAACAATCACATACTGGAATCTGAAAAGCTGAAACAGAAAATCAAATTGTGGTTTGTAAAGCGCTAGACTGAGGTCTGCTTGGAGTAGATGGGTAACATGATGTTTCTTTCTTATTTCTAGCTCATGATTTGCATTAATTCTCTTCTAATATTACATTAGATGATTTTCTAATATCACKTTTTCACATAAAAGTTGCTGAAACTGCAGTGATAGTGCCAAACCCAGGGTAGTACAGGCATCTATAGCTTGGTTGCAGATTTTTTTTCTTTTTTCAATCTTTCCTTTTGCCTAAGTTGCTTCCACTGTTATATGCAAGTTTATAGCTCAATGACAAGAACACATCACCAAATGATTCTGAATTATTTAGCTCTGGGTTATGTGATTGATTACATATAAACAGGAATGCTATTTAACTAAAATTTATTCCACATATATATATTTTTTTAAATGGTGTAAATGAAGGAACCACAGCCCAGAACAGCACAGAATTAGGGGTTCTTCTGTAAATCTTGATTCAGCCCATTATAGACTACATGAAACTTGGGAGTGAATAACTGGGAGTGAATAATTTTGAGTAAATCTATCTTTGYTGAAAAATTCATACTTCCAAGTTTTCTAATATGGCCTAAAACTATCACCAAGCCAATATGTTTTTAACATTTTAGTTAGTTGAATATGGAATACCTATGTTTTTACTCAAAGAAAGTTCTCACTGCTACAGAAAAAGACAAAAAATTTGCATGTTAAGAGGAAAAAAAAAAGATTAAAAATAAGGTTGGTAATGCTGAGTGAAATAATACCTTTGGCAAGTGATATGTGCACACAAAGCACAGCCTCYCTAAAGAAAGCAAAACAGCCTTGTCAGCTATTTCTGACTTTCTGGCCACCACCACCCTAATGCCCCAAAATATCCTCAGCCAAGCAGGTGCTTATCAATACCCACACTGTGAAGAGAGCACGCTATTATGAAAATTCACTATGGAATTTCACCAGGGTGAAAATTAAGTTACAGCTGGATGTACATACCATGCAAGGACCAGCAGAACATTCTTAGACACAAGAATACGAGAAAAAGAGACAGTGGCACAAAGAGACTCCTGGAATGAACAGCTGCAAGAAGAACACACCCACCAGTGCCTGCAACTGCTCACACACTCATCCCGAGTTCTTATGGATCCTAATAACTTCAGGAAGGGAATACCAACAAGTATGTGAGCTTCAAATACACTTCACTTATTTGAGGAGCCAAGGAGTTATTTTGGGTTCACTTATTTTTGCAAGGAGGATGAAGCAGAGTTTCAGATGTTACCATCATGGCTCTTGATAGTAATGCATTAAAATGCATATGTGGTCCTAAAGTTAGGTTAAGTTATTAAAAAAAAAGAAAAACATGGAGGACTACTAAAGCCTGTGAAATTAATCCTAGTTTTATAAGCTTTTGCAAACAACCATCTATTTAAAACTAAACAAGATAAAAAAAAAAAAAAGATGCCAAAAACAAGCTATTTTCACATCTATTCACAAAGTACTAATCTGGAATAATTATTTGTCTTTGCTCTGGTAGGTTTGCATGGTAAAACAGAGCACAAAGCTAACCCTCTAAATTCCCAGAGCAAAATCTGGCCTTCATAACGGCACACAAATTAACTTTTTAGTATTCAACTGGGAAGAATTCACCTTCACATAATGTTTTAAAACTCTTTATACCTTACCTTCCTGCCAACCCTGAATGAAACATGGCAGGAGTTCACAAGTGAGTTTGGCACTTAGTTGACACATCTAAAAAAGGAAAGCACTTACCCCCTGGTAAAGAACTCACTGGGAGTTACGGATTTTAGTTCCAAGTACCACCATTAAAGTCATGGCTCCCTATTCTGCCCAGCCCTCCCACTTCACTGGAAAATCAATGCAGTTAACACAGCACAAGCAGGAAAGCAGGATGAGAAAGGAGAAACTTTATAGACTCTGAAAAGGAAAAAAACCTTACAAAGGAGTCCACTTAAGAAAAGTCATGGTACCCTAAGATCAGCAGGGGCCCAATGTTCTGCCAGCCCACGTTGTGTGCTCAGGCCCATTCAATGCGTGGCTTCATGCCCAGTGAAAGGAATTACAATAATCCAGTTCAGACAGCACAGCAGCATGAATCAACACGGATCAGTTCCATGAGTGTGTGTCACAGCCTTTGTAGATAGTCACAAGTGGCACAGCGGTTTGTCACTCCTGTTACTGAAACATCCAAAAGCAGCTTTATTTACATTTACAAATAGTCATAATTCTGAGAGTGCTGACCMTCAGTTCTACCAAGYAGCTGCTAAAGTATTACATGAAGTMATACAGGRTGCAYTTARAARGCAGTGAATTTTAGGCCAAGYTGTCTTTATARAAAGAAAACAATCCTGACCYCCAGGTGGCACCTTATGATGACTGGGTCATACAGCCACAGGTTAAAAAAGGTAAGCCAAGAACGGAGCAGGGTACCCACACAGACCACTGTGCACCTACTGTTAAATTATATGTTTACATTCTCCAATGACACAAATATCTGGGATAGCAGGAGACACCTCATCTAACCACATAAACCCAAAGCTGTTACTGACTTCAGCGTGAGAATGTATTTCAGGTCAAGGTATTTTTAAAATATAGAATCAAATCYTGTATTCTACCAGTACATCAGCATGTATCACGAGTTCAGCATGTCTCATGGTTCTTTGTTGGGACTGCTCTGATGCAAACCGAAGTGACAGATTTCTTTAGAAAACAAAGTAACAGTCCTCCCACACCCACCAAACCCCAGAAGATACTCCAGCCTGGCTCTCAGTAGGTGCTCACACCTCCAGCAGGGCCCTGCTGTGAACTCAGAGCTTTTGCTCAGCAGTGTGAGACCAGGAATCTGGCAATCAAAGCTGCCTAATGGGGAAGAATTGGGGAAAACGGAGCACAGACCAGCACAAGGTGATCAGTGTTTGCAATTTCACCTCCCTACCAGCACTCATGGGCCTTTTTCAAGGTAGCTTTGGCTGAGCTTATTGCTGAGCCTTCAAATCACATCCTTAACAGGAACCTCAGWAGTTCCCATGCAGGGAATAATCTTTGGTTTATGTGTGAATAGAAAGCCAAATCTCACTTCCTTAGAAAAAGTTGACTCAACAGAGCTTTCACAATTGTTTCCAAGCACAACTATAACATTCAGGATTCACATAAAAGCCTTCTACTTACAATACACTCATACAAGTATAAAAAGGTCAATTTTCCAAGACACTGGGTTCTCACCTAATTATCATATGCAAAACACAAGATGTTCTTCAGTCACTGTGCTCTGTATTACTTTGATGTTATTCTTAAAACAGAAGTGCTACAGCTGATTAAAAGCTGAATTAAAAGCATGTGTATAGATGACAGTAATACATTCTTCATAAGCAGAGAATGCTTATAAAAACTTAATAGTACAAACCATTCCATTTACACATAAGGAATAAAATCCACCTGAAAACTGAGATGTACTGATTTGCAATATTTRTCATCTGGAAAAAGATACAATTTGCCTAAAATATCCTCATAATCTTCAAGAGATTTTCCAAATACTSTGGAAACAAATAGTAACAATTTCTCTGATGTTAATAATAATTTGGCTATTTTCAGGCACTCAAGATGGTGACTTTGTCCATAATGTTATATTATCTGCAGAGTA